ATATGATCATTCTGGATTTCAGTAAAGCCTTTGACAAAGTTCCCCATCAACGCCTCATCAGCAAATTGCAGTTTTATGGCATTCAGGGAAGCACCCTTACTTGAATTAAATCTTGGCTCACTAGTAGATCTCAGAGTGTCATAATTGATGGCGTGAGTTCAAAATCTGTTGATGTGACTTCAGGGGTACCTCAAGGCACGGTACTTGGTCCATTAATGTTTTTATTATTCAATTATGATATGCAAAATGGGCTAGGATGTACACTAAGATTGTTTGCTGATGATGCTTTATTGTATCATGTAATCACTCATCATGATGACACCTTGGCTTTACAGCGAGACCTAGACAAGCTAGGCCAATGGGCTAATAGGTGGCAGATGCTGTTCAATCCTTCTAAATGCTACAAAATGTCTGTTTTCCGTAGTAGATCCCCGGTTGTTAAAGGCTACACTCTTTACAACCAAACCCTGGTATCTGTTCGACAACATCATTATTTAGGTGTTTTGCTGTCTAGTGATCTGCGGTGGAACACTCATGTGGACAAGATTGCTAAAAAGGGGAACTCTTCACTTGCGTTTGTGAAAAGGAACTTGTATGCCTGCTCTGAAGAAACTAAACGTGCAGCTTATGTATCACTTGTCAGGCCACATTTAGAGTATGCGTCTGCAGTATGGGATCCTTATAGACAGAATCAAGTGGAGAAACTAGAAGCTATCCAAAGTCGCGCAGTGAGATTTATTAAACATGATTATAGTTATAACACTAGCGTGTCCAATTTGAAGAAATCCCTATCTTTGGATTTACTAAGCGAGAGAAGAAAATCCCATCGTTTACAAATTTTCCATAAATCTGTGAACAATAGTATTGCTTTGCCTATCCCGTCTTATTATCAATTGTCTATTAGGAAAACTAGAAATTACTCGACGAATTCATTTATTCAACCACCTGTACATCATGACTACTACAAGTATAGTTTCTTTCCGAGAACTATAAGGGACTGGAACTGTTTATCACCTGGAACTAGATCGCTTAATTATTCAGCTTTTTGCAGTACCAAATTTTTCTAAGTTTAAGCATAGCTATACTGTTAATTACATATTTTATTTATTTATTATTTTTATTAGCTATGTTTATATTTTTATATTTTTATTCTTTTATCTCTTCTTGATGTGCAATAGCGTTGAAGGGTAATAAAGTAGATGTAGATGTAGGGGTTTACTGACAGCCAAGTAATTTTGGGTGTGTTTTAATTCTAAACGAGTGACACCCTGTCGCTTTCCCAGCACAGCAGACGCGGGGTGCAGCGTAATTGGGTTCGCCAGGTTAACACAGTGAAGTACAGGGCGGGCAGGAGACTCTTACACACGTTTATTGGACTAAATCATGTAAACAGGCTAGCCGACTTGTTACAACACTTGCGGTGAAAACTAAAAGGAAAGCACGATTTGTTTACGTAAGGGAAACGAGCTAAATTGCAAATCTGAAGACAGGAAACACAACTAAAAACTAATAGAAACTTAACGATCGTGACTTACGTCTGATCTTGACTCCGGGCATAAGAAAACTCCAAGCTGTGAAAAAACTCCGAAAGACTCCTATAAAACTCCTCTTTGCTCCAGGGACAACTCCTTAAAACTAAAACGTTCGCGTAAAAAAAGGCCTAATATATTTCTATGACGTAAAGGAAACTAAACTGAAACAACTCTTTGTGCGGCTAGCCAAAATGGATATTTATAATCACGCAACTTGATCAAAACGAAACAAGGCTACATTTTAAGAAAACAGAAAGTAATATAATGTTCTAAAGTGTTCTTTGTACAGCAACGTGACACACCCTCTCTTCTCAAACGGCTTCTTGGTGACTATGACTTATTACGAGTGAAAGCTGTACAGTGGGGTTACAAATGAGCCAGAAGCCCTGAAAGCACTCACATCAAAAACTGGCCTGCGGGTGGTGGAGACTGGGGTTTGGCTAGACGAGTCGGGACTCCCTGGAGCTTCTCCAGACCGCCTGGTGGAAGATGACAGTGTTTTGGGGGCAAAGTGCCCACACACCCAAAGAAACTTAACAATTGAGGGGGCCTGAGAAGAAGATACTTCTGCCTGGAAAAGAAGGATGGAAAAATTCAACTAAAAGAAGACTATGTGTACTAGCACCACTCCCAAGGCCATATGTTCTTTACGAAACGAAATAAATGCTACTTTGTAGTTTGGACATCTAAGGACTTTGTTATTTTGGAGATCCAACGGGAAGATTCTTGGGTGGAGAAAGTTCAGCAACTTAGAGATTTTTACTTAAAGGAACTCTTTCTAAAAATAACTGAAGGCGAATTTTAAACACATTCTGTTAAAAACAACTTGTTTTTACTTTATTTGATTCTGAATGCTCAAAATCTGTTCCATCACATCCCTCTTTAAAAAAAGGAATAGCAAGTTCACAAATCTGTTTGTAAACTAAAACATTTTGTCCATCTAACATCATTCAAGTAATTCACTTAAGAAAAAGAATAAGAATGTTCACTCTTTTACCTCAGTTCATAATAATTGCTAACCCTGATTAGTCAAAATGTGTTCCCTCACATCCTTCCTTTAATTAAAGGGTACTGCAAGTTCACAAGAGCTGCGCATAACTGAAACACTTAATCCAAATAACACCTTAAAGAAAGGGGGGGGGGGGAAACTGAGAATTTTAAAATCTTTGAGTCAAGCATTAGCCCTCTCAACATGAATGCAACACCTGGCAATTGATTTAGTCACCTTTGCTTCACTTTTGGTAAACTTGCCGTTTTCAAGAAAGGGTGGTGTGTTCCCACTTATACCCTTGGGAACAATATCATGAACGAGAAATCCCTCATCTGCCAAGATTAGGTCACCAGGAATAAAATGCCTCAGAATACCAGACTTTCACACAATTTCCTTACCAGAGATTGAAACATGGTAGAGATTGCTAACATAGGTCAGTACTCCATTTGGTGCTACTCCTGTTGAAACTTTAAATGAGTTCATCCCTTGGTAACTTGAGTAGGTTGCATTTTGCTGACACATAAGGCTGGGTGTTGCTACTTTGATGTCAGTACAGTCAATGATAATTCTGCAACTTGAGTAGGCGGAAAATGATGATGGTGAACACAACTTGTCTTTGCTTCTTGAAGGGATTGTTTTCATTAAATCATCAAAAAGCAGACCATGGAGGACATGTATGAATGTTGTGGCAATGTTAGAAATTGTTGCAATGCTGCTACAAGAAAATAGTTGAGCCAGGTGCAGATTGGTGTAGTTTGACACAACTTCATAAGTGTTAGAAAGATTTGATTGTCAAATACCATTGACTTGACTTTCCACCCAGCATAGTAAGAAATTGATTCCTTAAACTGAGCTGTATATTCCACTAAAATGGTAAACACCTCCTTGGTAGGGAGCCCTGTTTCCACTCTAATGACTTCTGAACTCAAACTTGAAACAGAATAGTGTGTCCTCTAATACTGCTTAGTCTCTTGATGAGAATATAGCTCTTGTTGAGTCAACTCCAGTTCAGCCTCCAGTATTACTAGATCAGTGGAGTTGCTCTCATTTGCATTTGCTCTGTCATTTTTTCTCCCTCAGTAGTTGCCAAGTCACAGAATGCAGATACACCAGGCTTTGAATCAAGTTTCCTTTTTTTTTTTAGTAGGATTTCCCTGTGCAGGAAACAGTTTGTGAGCATTTCGCTCAAAAAACTTCAGGTCTCGCCGATTTTAATCCATCTCTGAAGTGGAAGCTACATACCTTAGAATGCTGGCTTGGTTCTCTATCAGCTCTCCAATAAAAGCAGACAGTGAAAAATAGTGAAACCTTCCTGCATACCACACAAAAGATCTACAGGTTTTCATGAAAACATTTTAGGTTTTAAGTCCATTATGTTAACATTTCTCAAATGCATTTCTGAAATTTTCAGAGATCCTAGAGGGTTTTGAGTGCATGCATGAACTTGAATTCTTCAATGTCAAATAAAAGATCAGATTAAGCATTGTTTCATACCTCAACAAGTGAACCCAGCTGTTGCTTCAATTTTCCAGCAGTTAGATTTTTGTTATTGAGCATACATTTCCTAGGAGCAATTTAGGCCTTTCCTAATAGAATCTTCATCTACAACTTTTTCGTTTTGAAGAATATATCTTCAACACATCTAGCAGTCCTTTGATCTGATGATCACAATTCTGATTTACAAATGTCACTATAGTACATACTAACCAATAATTTGCTTTTTATTATCACTTTGTGGTTGTCCTAGAAATATCCCTGGATACGCCAATTCTTCATAATGTGCATCCTTACTATACTAAGAGGTGTATTACCTTCTCCATGAGGAGCAACATTTAAAATATTTTTAAGATCTGTGTAATCCAGAAATCAGAAGCTGTTAAAAAAGTATTCGAAACTCCTTAAGGTATTTCTACATCATCTTTACTCCAGTCATCTTCATTTTCACCTTCACTTTCTATTAAATTTTCATTTCTGTTTGTGAATAAACTAGCATCATCATCAGAATCTCCTTGATCTTGTTCAGTATCAGTTTCATGCAAAGAGTTATGGTACCACTCTGACTTAGTGTCATTCTCTCTCTTTTATATAAAATGCTATTATCTTTAGGCTATTTGGATGCTTGAATAAACAAATGAGGTCTTACTTTCAAAGACAAGGCAGAGCTCTATACTATAGACTTCTTTTACTTCACTTTAATTAAGCTCATTTCATTTGGTAACCTGGATAACATGTTTACAGTATTATTAACATCTGTAGTTTCACTGACAATATTTCAACTGATTTTCAGCTGTTTTCCTCTCAGTGCCTGCATCACCTTCTGAAACACAAGCCTTGGTGCTAACAATCTATATTCTAACTTGTTTAAGTTAAAAAAATTATGGATTTTCTGGAAATTGTAATCCATTTATTGCTGCAGATGGGGGAAGTTAACTTTTTTAAAGTAGCTGTAACATGTTAGACACAGCAATCCTAAATATCCTAAATGCTAGTTTTGTTCAGTAAATACTTGGTTATTTCTGGGGACAATAACTGATTCAGCAAGACAGACACTGTGTCTATAAATTAGCAACTGATCACAACAAGTGCAAAATTAGAAAGGACCTTTAAAAAAAATATCATGAAACTCGCAAATTAAACTTTGTACAGTATCTGTGTTACATTTCTTACTCTTAATTTTTCCTTATTCTTTGGACTCATTATTTTGGTATCAAGTTCTACTGCAGCATCTTGCTTTTAACTCTGGGCTCAACACTAACTTTTCAACCTACAAGTCAAGTGGCTAGTGACAACATGTTATAACAATTTCAGTTTGTTTACTAGCCAAACTGGCCAATGGGAACCCAAAACCACTAGCCAAAACTGAAATTATACTAGCCCATGGCTAGTTGGCTACTGTTAGAGTCAAGCCCTGTAACTGTGTGTGGTTTTCACAGCATTACTCTTTTTCTTCATTAATTCTCTCAAATAGTATATTATACATATTTTTTTTTTTTGTGAGCTCCACTTGCCATACATTTTCAACATTCTGAGGTTCCAGATTATCAGAATGTTTAGCAATAGTAATTTCTTCACCATAAATCATTAATGTGATATCTCCTTGTTCATTAGTATGGTTTTGTTTACTGGTAATTGCCTCTTCATTGACATAATGCCTTGTTAATGACTGAGCACTTCCTAATTTGTTCTCTTCATATTTCATATGCTTTGCTAATAATCTTGCCTCTCTGGATTCATCAGACTCATTTGTTTTTCTTTTGTTATCATATTCTTTCCCGGCAGCTTGTCTTAACTTTTTTTGTATGGCATCTTCGTTACTAGAGCTCTGACTTGTTTCAATGCTGCAGACATTTTTTACACCATTTCCCCCTTGTCTCGTCAAATGTTGCAGGTAGGTGTTATAATTTTCTAAGGAAATGGCACACGTCTGTTGTTTTCTCACTTCCCTTGAGTGTGCACGTGCTGTCTTCCCAGTTACATAATCATCAAATGCCTTAGCGTTTAATGAACTATCACGAAACATTTGTTCAGTATTAGGTACTTCAAGAACTGCTGATACATAGCGAAATTCATTAACATGACCAATAAAAAGATTTGTTTCAATTTGACATGTAACTGCGTTAATAATTGTTGTGTTGGCAAAGTTACTATGAGATTCAGTTATATAAATTCTCACAAGGAGAGAATCTGCAGTTGAATGTATTCCAAGGACATACGCCCAAGTCCCTTGTCTGGACATATTTTTCAAGTACTTTATCCATGAGTTTTCAGTATTACTTTCGATGAACTGTTCCGTATGACTCCTCATTTACTCAACTGAATGTGCATTTGGTAATCAGGAACACCAAACATTTCATGTAAAATTGCTCTGAAGAAACAGTTACTGACACCACCTACATCTAATGGACACAGTCCAAGTTGATGTATTCTTACTGCCATTATGAGCCTGGAGAACATTCTCTAATGGCACTATTCCTGTATATGGCTGAGGACCTGGGTTAAATTCAATGTTGCCTGATGATAGCAACTTTCTTTTAACAACAAAAAACTGCTCCACCTTCAATTAGTGTTCTGAATCTGAAATTTTGGGCGTATATCTAATTGTTAAAAGATTCTCTGCTTTATTTTGTACACCAGCAGAAGTTTTTGTGCCTGGCTTTTAAGAAGGGCACTCTCTTTCACAGTCACTAGACAGACATTAATCATGAATCCATTCAGACCAACAATTTTTAAGGCAAATGCATTGTGCAATATTTAACATTTTTCACAGAATCACAAAAATATTTGTTAATGAAACTGTTGCTTCTCCCTATGTGAATAACTATAGCCATGCCTAAAAATTCTTTGAAATGTTAACAAGGTTTGATGTGTTAAGAATTGACCTCTATAGGAGATAATTTACCTTTCTTCCTCACTGAACTTTTTCTCAAATTAGCAAACACTTTGTTGACGTTTACTGGTTCTCTGTCATTTCTCTTTCTCTTTCAAAACTTTGTGGTCCTTGAAAGTTGCCTGACTGTTGATCTCACTGAAGAACATTTCAACTTTAACTTAACTTTAACACAGCTGTGAGCTCTATTTTTGACGTGTTCGACTCACTTAGTTTCACAACGTACACAGGACAGTGGTAAAACAAGCTTTCACTCTTACTTAGAACAGCCTCCGAGAACTGAGTAATATGATGGTAATCACTGCAGCCCGAACGTTCTTGCAATCGACAAATCTATCAGAACATGATTCTGACGAGGTCGGAGGTAAATAATTTCCACCTTCACGAGTAACACTGAATAATTTCACCTCCAAAAAGAGTTTCAAATTCAGTCATACAATCCTCGAAAACTACACAAGTTTAACCCATCTGGTTAGTAATGAAAACATTACAAAAACTGTAGCTTACCTGCCGCTGGGTGGACGCGATTCAAAAATAGCAACGATCGACACGCACAGTGATTCCGACTACGCAACGATTAAGCGATGAACTTTCCAAAATTAATTAAACCGGACATGATGCTCGGTCTCTCCGGTTACTGATCGTTCGCGTGATTGCGTGTAATCGAGAAAAAGCGACCAATTGATCTCAAGATACGGAAATTGACATTTAATCGGGGACCCGCTGCTGTAACACATACAAAGAGAAAAAAATTAAAAATAAACTCCTGGTGGTCACGTGGTCGTACCGAGGACACCAAATATGTAATGTAACGATTATACAGACATTAAGAAACGAAATTCAGAATAAAACTTCAAAGAAAGGCGAAAATGTTTTCTCAAGCGAACGCGTTGGAAAGTCTTTTACTGTATGGTGCCTTCTGTTTGTCGGCGATTACATCGAAAGGTATGTTTTTTGTACTTGAATGATGCACTCGTTTATGTTCCAGCAGCGGTCAATTTAGTTCTCTATCAAGGAGCGTGTGAACAAGTTAACAAGCAATCTCGTGATTTTTAAGGAACTTTAGCACTTCTCGAAACACAAATCGCACTTGCATTACGGGCACGGATAATCTTCGTTTATTAATAACGAAAATTGAAGGTGGAACCGATAATCTATCCGTTTAATTTGAAACTGACATAAAATATTTTACGCACACGCGCATCACTTAGTACATGTATGGCTTACTGTATTTTGCGAAACGAAACGAAACGAAACGAAACGAAACGAAACGAGTAAACCCGTACTGTATTTTGCGAAACCAGCTCTTCGAAGACTCTAGCGATATATAACTTATTTCTTCCGATTCGTAAACACAATTCGTAGATACAACTCGATGCAGTGATGATTTATAAATAAAGACTTTGAGCCAAAAGGTCAGAAGTGCGCCGTTTCGCAAATTACAGATATGTAAATCTGTAATTTGCGAAACGAGCTCTTTGAAGACTCTAATGATATGTAACTTATTTCTTCCGATTCTATAACACTTTTCGTAGATACAACTCGATGCAGTGATGATTTTTTAATAAAGAGTTTGAGCAAAAAGGCCAGAAGTGCGCCGTTTCGCAAATTACAGATATGTAAATCTGTAATTTGCGAAACGAGCTCTTTGAAGACTCTAATGATATGTAACTTATTTCTTCCGATTCTATAACACTTTTCGTAGATACAACTCGATGCAGTGATGATTTTTCAATAAAGAGCTCGAGCCAAAAGGTCAGAAGTGCGCCGTTTCGCAAATTACAGATATGTAAATCTGTAATTTGCGAAACGAGCTCTTTGAAGACTCTAATGATATGTAACTTATTTCTTCCGATTCTATAACACTTTTCGTAGATACAANGATTTACATATCTGTAATTTGCGAAACGGCGCACTTCTGGCCTTTTTGCTCAAACTCTTTATTAAAAAATCATCACTGCATCGAGTTGTATCTACGAAAAGTGTTATAGAATCGGAAGAAATAAGTTACATATCATTAGAGTCTTCAAAGAGCTCGTTTCGCAAATTACAGATTTACATATCTGTAATTTGCGAAACGGCGCACTTCTGGCCTTTTTGCTCAAACTCTTTATTAAAAAATCATCACTGCATCGAGTTGTATCTACGAAAAGTGTTATAGAATCGGAAGAAATAAGTTACATATCATTAGAGTCTTCAAAGAGCTCGTTTCGCAAATTACAGATTTACATATCTGTAATTTGCGAAACGGCGCACTTCTGACCTTTTGGCTCAAAGTCTTTATTTATAAATCATCACTGCATCGAGTTGTATCTACGAATTGTGTTTACGAATCGGAAGAAATAAGTTATATATCGCTAGAGTCTTCGAAGAGCTGGTTTCGCAAAATACAGTACGGGTTTACTCGTTTCGTTTCGTTTCGTTTCGTTTCGTTTCGTTTCGCAAAATACAGTAAGCCACATGTATGACAATAGTCACTGAATTTGCATTTTGTGAACATTAGAGATGAAAATTTGGAGATTTTACGCCGTTAACTAACGGCGAAATTTCTTTCAGTCGGTGCTATATATATTTGGAGATTTTAGGCCGTCAACTAACGACGTAATTTCTTTCAGTCCGTGTTAAAATATTTTCCAGTTAATTGATCAGCCAACCAGAGGGAACAATACACTTGATTTGCTATAGTCTTCTCTTGTCGAGGGAGTGGCTAATGTCTGTAACGTACAAATATCTGACTCTGATGGTGTTGCTTTATCTTCTGATCACAAAGCGCTAAAGTTCGACCTGCATACAAGTTATAAATTCTTATCCTATAATAAACAGCCTACCTATAACTTCAAAAAAGCTGACTTTAAAGCTTTACGCTCCAAGTTACGCGAATTCTCCTCTACCTGTTGAATTTAGCGAAGATCAAATCACAGACATCAATTCAATCTGGTGCTATTGGAAAAATCCACTGTCAGCCAATGTTGACGCCTTTATTCCTAAGCGGAAACAGAAAAAATTCCTCTCTCCACCTTGGATTGATGGGGAGGCAATCCACGCCATTCGCAAAAAAAACTTCACAAGGAAGAAAGCTCTCCGCAAAAATAGTGATGGGCTTTGGCAAAAGTACCGTCAGTTACGTAGAGATGTCAAGTATATGATATGCTTTAAGAGGACCGCCTACATGAAGGATATATCTGACAACTCATCTTTTCAGCCCAAACGATTTTGGAATTTTTTGAACCGACTGACCAATCGTCGTCCTTCCATTCCTGATTCAGTCACCATTGACGACAAAGTACTCACCACACCTTGTACTAAGGCTGAAGCTTTCAATCATTATTTCGCCTCTGGCTTCAACACAGGTACAGTCCTTCCTACAGATATCGGCACCACACCATACTCGCTCATCAATATCAATGAAATCATCTTGGATCAAAAAGACGTTCCTAATGCCTCACTGAAGCTTGATCCGAGTAAGTCTCCTCGACCTGATTTCATTCATCCGAATATTCTAAAAAAGTGTGCCTCCGAGCTAGCACCATCTCTTTGTGCTCTGTTTGATCTATCACTACGGTTGGGTAAGCTGTCACTGGACTGGAAAAGGTCTAATGTTGTACCGGTCCTCAAAAAGGGAGATAAATCAGTGATATTTAACTACAGGCCTATATCCCTTCTCTCGGTCGTCAGCAAGCTGCGTGAACGTTGTATACTTGATAAGCTCATACCCAAGCTCCTTGAGCTCCTGTCACTAAAGCAGCAAGGCTTTGTTCCGAGGAAATCCTGTGTCACACATTTACTTAGGGTACTTCACGATCTGGGTAAAACTCTCGACGCTAGATAAGAGTCGGATGTTCTTTATCTCGATTTCATTAAGGCGTTTGATTCTGTGCCGCACAACCTTCTCCTGCACAAGTTATCATTATATGGCATCGATGGTCCATTGTACAGTTGGTTCTCCGACTACCTTCATTCCAGATATCAGAGGGTGCACATAGAAGGTTCCTTCTCCAATAGGCCTTTTGCAGCTAGAAATCACGTGCTCAGATACCGCATGGAAACGCCATACTAGAGAGCAAGCACTCCAGTGATCTCAGACAGTATAGAGGTCACAGCGGTCTGCATTCAAACAAAGAATACAGCGGATAACAGGTCAAAAGGTATCCCAATTCGACAAATCCAGTAAGAAGTAATCAACAGCTTCCCCGGAGTGTATCAGCAGCAAAATCACACCAAAATTCGTTTTTTGCCGATACACTTCAAGGAAGCTGTTGATTAAAACTTACAATATTTCTCAAATTGGGATACCCTTTAACTTGTTGTCCGCTGTATTCTTTGTTTGAATGCAGACCTCTGTGATCTCTATTTTGTCTGAGATCATTGGAGTAATGCGGTATCTAAGCACGTGATCTTTAACTGCAAAAGGCCTATTTGGTCAATGTGTCATCTGGTGTCCCTCAGGGGAGTCTAATGGGCCCATTCTTGTTCGTTATCTTCATCAACGACCTACCAGACTTTAAATGATGGAACAGCAATTGCTCTGTTTGCTGATGATGCCAAATGTTACAGATCAGCTAATGACCCTAGTGGTTGTACTAATTTTCAACATGATATTAACAAGCTTTATGACTGGTCCCTTAGATGGGGTTTAGCTTACAATCTAGATAAATGTGTAGGTATGAGAATAACTAGGAAACGCAACAGCTCTATACCGTCTCTTGTTGATAGTCCTTATGAAGCCGGAGAACATGCCCTTGCGGTCGTTTCCTCACAAAGGGATCTCGGAGTTATCGTCACAGACAAACTTATAAGGAACTCTCACATTGAATGCGTTGTAGCCAAAACCAACCGGATGTTGGGTTTTCTCTGTCGGAACTGTGCTGACATTAGGACTGATAGCAGGAGAACGCCATATCTTTCTTTTGTGCGTTCCCACTTAGACTACGCTAGCGAGGTTTGGGCCCCTCAATCTGCTGTCCATCATTTACGTATTCTAGAGGGTGTTCAACGTCGGGCAAATCGTTTCATTTTGAACTATAGTTATAAGGTATCGGAAAGACCTGACTATAAGTCCCGCTTGAAAAGTGCTAAAACTGTTACCATTATGTTATTGGTACGAACTACGAGGCATCTGCTTCTTGTACAAGTGTATGCATAAGTACTACAATATTAATGTCAATGAATATATCAACTTGATCACTGGCCGTACTAGGAATGCCGACAACTTTAATTTGTGACCAAATCGTGTTCGTACTTCCTTTTTTCGTGATTCATTTTTTAATCGCATTGTTTCCTTATGGAACAATTTTCCGTTAGATATTGGTGAAACTATAGCTCTCTCTACCTTTAAAGACCGTCTATTTAACTATTTCTTTAACAAATTTATCGCTAATTTTGACACATCTAGAATTCAGACATGGAAAACAGTCTCCCCACACTGCCGCTCAATTAATAGAAAGAACTGTTGTTGATTATTGTTTTTGTTTACATATGTTTTAGTATAAAACTAGTATATAAGTATATTAGTATATAATTATGGGTAGTATAAAAGTATAAAACTAGCATATAGTATATAAGTATATAATTATGGGGGCTGACCTCCCTGGGACTTCGAGTCCGTGCGCTAGTCCCTCATTTAGTACCCATTTTTTAGTCTTTTTATCATTATTCTTTGTCACTAAATGGAAGTTACTATAAATAATTAAATAGATAAATAAATATTATATATTGGGAGATTTTACAGCGTTGACTAACGGCGTCATTTCCTTCAGTCGGTGTTATATGAATTGGGAGACTTTACAGCGTTAACTAACGGCGTCGAATTTCTTTCAGTCTGTGTCGTATATAATAGGAGATTTTACGCCGTTGACTAACGGCGTAATTTCCTTTAGTCGGTGTTTACATTTTTTTTATCAATTTTATCATTATCTATAAATTTGTGAGTTCAGTGTAATTTCCAACTGTGGATCACACCTTTTTAGAAACCTTTAGCAAGGCTAATTACCACGTTCCACATGCTGTCTTCGAAGTTTAGCAAAGTTATACCTCTTGCCGTGAAATTCTAAAATGTCCTGAAAGTTTTCTTGGCTTTGCAAATGGCTGTGAATGGAATACAAGATGTAACTTACATGATGTTGCGCATAAAAAGATGAAAATCATGACCATAAAGTTTTGAATTGGACTGCAGATACCCTATACGTTGGCATCATAAGTGGAGTTTTGCTCTGCTTACAGTTTCTGACCCTTTCCAAATGTTGGTTCCCTTTGCTAAGATACCAAGATGCCATTGAGTATTTTCTTGTAATATCCATTACTGTCTTTGCCATTAACGCACATTCCTTCTGTTCCATAGGTTCATCTGTGTCTAAGTACCAGATTGTAGCGACGCCATTCCAAGAAAACGTGAAACTACATTGCACTCCACCATCAAGTTTACCTGGTTTCCGTGATTTGTCATGGTTCCTCTGTCCAGACCTTAAACTATGCTTGTCAAGCAAAGAAAAAGAACAACCCATTGCTGAGATTACAAATAAAACAAGCGTCAGGGTTCACTTTTCACAAATATTTCAAATAGACATTAACGGAACCCTAACAATTGATTGGGCGTTACCAGCATTTGATGGTATAGCTTTTCTCTGCTGGGTTCACTTTCACAGTATTGGGAAAAGAAAGACAATAATACATCTGAAAATACGAGGTAGGAGCATACACTGACTCAATATTGAGCATCCACATTCCTTTTTCAGAAAAAAAAAACAACGGTTGATGGTTTTGCCACATGTTAGTGCACCGTATTCCGTGTTTTCTGAACATTTCCCTGGTAATATCCGGGGTTGCAGGCACTTTAAATTACATGTATGTCAAAAAGTGCGCACCCCTATATGTATAGCGATTTCAGGCCATTTTATCGAGTTTTAGCTGAAACCTCATCCCACTTCAGGTAGTATACGAAGTGGGATGCGAGATATCGGCTAAAACTCGACGAAACGGCCATAATTCGCTTCCATTGTATCATTAACACAATCACTGTCATGGCCATTATCGTTTCGTTTAATCTTTATTATTTTCATTATTATTAATAAATTTCTTTGTCCTTTGAACTTTTAGAATCACCACGGGTAGAGATTAAAAGTCCAGAAACTGTCTACGTGCCCGAAGGAACGAACCTCTCTTTGGTATGTTTGGCTGTTGGTTGGCCTAGGCCTCAGTTGACTTGGACTCGTGGAGATGAAGTCCTCTTAAACCAGACAAGTAACGGAACGTATATCCAGCAAAACGTCACATTGGAGGATGGTGGAATATACACCTGCAGTGCCAAAAATCAGTTCGGAATTGAATACCGTTCTGTAAAAGTGATTGTTTTGGGTGAGTTTTTAAAGATTCGGCCTTACGTCAGTATGACTGGTAATCAGTTCATTCACGAAATAAGCTGAAAATCCAGCCTATATTTAACAATTATTCGCCGAGGGCGAGCTGAATATCGTCAAATAATCCCCGAGACGAAGTCGAGGGGATTATTCGACAATATTCACATAACGTGAAGCGAATAATTGTTTTAGTATAATTTCAGAGCTGAACAACAGAGAAATTTCTAAAATCATAACATTTTAGTAACATTTATTAACATTTTATTTTAACATTTTATATAAACCGCGTGGAGCGGTTTATATAGCGTAAAATAAGGAACTGCTCGACCAATCAGATTGCTGGAAACTCTTTGCTCAGCTCTGAAATTATACTAAATATATATATATATATATATATATATATATATATATATATTTATTAAAAACTGGATCATTGGATAATGCAATTCAAGACTTTTTATTGGCATAGCCATTATGGTATATCAGCCAATAGACCATAATTTACAAATATGGTAAGCGTACGCGTCAGCTTAAAATCAAAAGGGAGCTAAAAAATCCAGTTTCTTCTTACAAAATAATAATTTCTTGAGGGCGTTTTTAATAAAACAATTATTCCACTCGCGCTTGTTGGATATGAGATGATTATAGCCAACTCGGCGCTACGCGCCTCGTTGGCTATCTATCATCTCATATCNTATATATATATAACAAGTTAAAAGGCCTCGAGCCAACAGTGACGCCGCGCCAGAAGGATCCAAAGGGATTCACAGTCAAAACCTCGATAAATAGTAGGAAAAATATTGTAGCTAGTACACGAGGACGGACAACTTCGAGCTAAGAAAGACATATACTCAAATAAAAAGTCTAAGAAAGTTTAATAAAATACGTTTCGGTCCGAGACCTTCATCAGTTGTCTGATCAACTGATGAAGGTCTCGGATCGAAACTTATTTTATTAAACTTTCTTAGACTTTTTATTTGAGTATATGTCTTTCTTAGCTCGAAGTTGTCCCTCCTCGTGTTCTACAATATATTTATATATATTTTTCCTCTCATAATATATATATATATATATATATATATATATACATATATACTTTTTCTATGGAAACGCATACGAAGTTAAATAAAGTTTGGCATTTACTACAATAACAATAGTATCTTCAGTATTCCGTTGTAACTTGGCAAGGGTCATTGTTTGTTTGGATCTTCTTTATTGTTTGTGATCGTAGCTTTTTTGTTAATTGCTTGTGCTGCCATGGGAAATTTTATAATGGTCGTGTTATATAACTGAACCTTGAAAATCTGATATTTTACACAGGTATCCCAGGCTCCGCGCCATCACCTCCCCCAGGTATGTATACCGTTGTTGCTTGGCGAGGGCCACCGTTTGGGCTGTGGCTGAAATTTCTACTTTTGTGTCTTGGTTTTCTATCCGCTGAGATGCGATAAAAAATTACTTTATTCCAAGATATGACAGATATAGGAAAGGTACATAACCGTAAGCATTCGGAAAGTAAACTGTTGGTGGCATTGCTTATTTTTTTTTCTTTTTTTTCACGTTAATATGAACTATGCCTGGTGATTTCTGAGATCCCAAGCATTAAAGATTGCATGCATTATAATTTATGACTGAAAAGAAAAAACATGGTCTGTTCATTCCTAGGTGAAAGCAAGGAAGAAGTGAGTTTTGCGAGAGCCGTCCTTAAGGTTCTCCCTCTAATAATCACATTGCTCTTTATTTTTCTGGTGATAATTATTTTGCTGGTTATAAAGATCAAGAGGCCTGATCTGTTCGATCAGAATCGAGTATGACCTTAAGGTTCGTAATGATAATTACACTCTGTGAGTCACAACATTATTAACGAATATCGTTGACAATAAGAGTAGACTACGCTAAACTACTGTGGATTTGTCAATATTTTCTTTGCAATAGCAAAAGACAAAAATGAAAAAACAAAACAAAACACAAATCTACGATAGAGAAAAAAAAATGAACAAATCATTGAATTTTTTTTTTTAGTTGTTTGCTTTTGAATTTTGTAACAGAGTGCAAGGATTTTTCTGAGACATTACAATGAATTTGTAACGAATTTTTTGAGGGAATGTAAATAAATGAACTTTTTTAAAGAATGTAGTCAAATAATTTCTTGCAATTGTGTTGTATGTTTACTACGTGTATCTTAACTTGAGGATTTGTAATTTGAGCTTTACTGCCAATAGGTGGCCTTTAATAGCTTTTCGTTTACCTATCATCGTGCAAGAACGATTTTGGACGTTAAATCTATTATGCAATTATCAACAGTCAGAAGTGGGTTAAGATAGAGACTGCAGCGGGCTTAAATAAGTTTACAATGGATAATTACAGTTACTATACTGTTTATAGGAGTCGCTCCTAAGTAAGAATATTTCAATTCATAGGATTGTAGTGCATTTCTGTCGGTTGAATTATACCGTAACAGTTCCCATTCAAGCAACCGCTAGTCTCTTTCACAGCCGATCACCTTTGTTACACTCCTCATTGCGTGAAGAACCTATAGGGCCGCAGATAAGAGAAAGATGACGTTTTAATTCTAACGATATGTGTGCGTTATTAACCAAGCGTGAGTTCAAGATGTATGGATATTGGCCGAGTTCTTTCTTTGTGATTTTATGGACAGAGAAGAAAATTTTCTAAGTATCTGCACAAAGGAGACGTTAGATGGATGTATTCCACGCTGAATGCTTAGTGATTCTACCATGCATTCCCGCATTTTTGGCGACTTTGAATTAAATTTTTTTAAATTTGGTTTTTTCGCAAAGGACTTCTCAAATGCAGGCGCGTAGCGTCCTATACGCATATACGCACGTGCGTTCTTGAAGTTACAGAAAATTTTGAAAACAATGTTGTGTTTGCGCCAAGTTTGCTCAAAATAAGGGCAAGACGCTTTGTTCTTTGCTTGTATTGTCACAACTATTTCGAACAAGAAATAAAGAATGTGGTATTTTTCGCTCAGTTTACTTAGGTTTCTAGATCATATGTACTTGTGCGTACTTGAAAAAATGACCACGCGACGCGCCTGAAATGCCGAACATCACCCACCACCAGGTTTCTTCTGGTGTTTTACTGCAAGGAAAATGGCGTCACAATATATTTCGTCTCTTGGATGTTTTAAAAATATTACGAAGTTTATTTTGGGACTGAGTGAGAGAACTTTAACTCAGTTTGGGTGATTTTACTGGTTTATGTCTTTAACCACCAAAATATAATCAAAAATTGAATTTCACGCCTATCAACCAAACACTAGTGAAAAGCAAAATCATTGGTCGAAACGAGTCGCATCTGTATAGCCATAAATGTCTGCGCAAATTGTGTATCGGAGATTCTTCGGCATTGGAACGAAATGACCCACTTTTCTCTATAAACCTTTATCGTGGAGGCTCATAATAATTATGTTATTTACTTTGTCAAAGTGGTAATTTATTATGCATTTCCAGAATATTCGCAATCTTTCATGATTTCTTAACAGACAAAATCTCTTTGAATTCAGTCCACATTCTAGTTCCAGAGGCAGATAATTTAGTTTCTACTGCATAAATAAGAAACTGAGTCACTATCTGGCAGATAAGTGTAAAAAAATTGTTTTGGGTTACCAACTAGAATGGTTTTATCCAGTAGACAGGGGCATAGCCAGGATTTTTCAAAGGGGGGTCACAGAGGCTACTCACCATTTACACCACTGCTCTCCTGCGTGTATCAGAGGGCTCAGTCATGTTATCGCGGCATGAAGGCCCATATCAATGGCTTTTACAGCCAAGATATTGTCATGGAGTTTTCGCCGCCTGAATATTGTAGGTTGTTTGCTGTAAAGAAGACCTACCAAGGGGGGGTCATGGGCACCCCAGGACCCCCCCTGGCTACGCCCTTGGTAGATGAGGTTATCCACACTGAACAACTGGGACCTGAGTTATGAAGTTTGCATATTCTTCACTCACAAGGGGAGGGGGTTGGGGAAGGGTGGTATAGGCACCACTGGACCCCCCTTGAATTGCTTTGTCCCTTAGCATACACCGTTCATATTCTCCCAGTTTTAACAGCAAACAAGACAAAACCTTGCCACTTTACTGGATCTCACAGATCCATCACTTTTTAATGGTTATATTCTGCAAAACTTTACCATCACTCTTTCACACTTGCATTTACTTTTTTCTATCAAGCAGACACTCCTAAGTTACCAGCAGACTCTTAAGAGCTTTCTTTTTTATATGAATTAAGTCATGAAACCTAGGCATAGGATAGAAATGAAAACTTACAGTCCTTTAACAGGCACTAAATGTGATTTCCACAAAAGACTTCCCAGTCAAGGTTTAAACATTAAGTTAACAGGACATAAAAAAAAAACATGTATAAGCTTCCAAAATGATCTCCTCACTGCATAAATTTCTCAAAAAGGTAGCTTACTCAAAAAGGTTTCTTACCAACAAATGAATACAAGATAAGGTTTAAAATGGTGCACTACTACCTGTTTGACATGTAGGCATTGATCTATTCAGTTATCACTGTAACAGTAAAATAAATTAGAATCATTTAAAGCTTATTTGACACTGTTCCATTGGTTTTGCTGACAACACCTCATCACATTATATATTATGATATTAATATTATGACATATATTAATAATGATTGTAATGATTAGTTGACCTATGGGGAAAGAGACAAATTGGCCAGGCCAGTGGTTAACACATTCAAAGTTAATAGACTGAGGGGAAATGCCAACCATGTTTGAACCAATACCCTGTCAAAGGGTTTACAACTGATTCCTGGGGCCAGATGTTTCTTGAAAGTCCCTGTAAATTTTCTGGGACTTTGACTTCAATTTATATTTAATCATAGCTACTACATGACTCAACACATATTAGTTAATCCTGGTATTAAATCAATACTAACAGTAAATGAAAATCATAATTCATTATCATTACCATGTACCTGGCAGGCTGACTTTCTCTGAGTCAATCTGTGATGCATGAGGTTTTTTTTAAGGAAATGAGTTCATTTCTTGAGACATGAATGCATGCATGCATGCTCTCTTATAAATCAGATTGATTCAGTTTAATCCAAAGAAGTCAGCTGACTGTGGGTTGATGTAGGGGCGAATGGGAGGATGTATTCCCCCCCAATGATCCATCTCATGTGAACGTTGATTGTAGATCACAAGTTGTTTCGAGTCCAAATCAAGGTAAAACAAGAACAAATCCCCACTCTGCCAGTTGCTGATTGTGCTAACAATTGCTGAAGAATTTGGGTAGTACTTCATACCATCACTCCAGCGCCAAGTACGATGACCATCGGTGACCCCCACTTCAAAGGCATGGTGTTCAGAAGATCTTTTGAGCTTGTCGGGCGTAAGAATTCGCACTTGCCAGGAATGCCAACCACATTTGAACCAATATCCAGTCATGGACTCCTTGTCCTGGTCATAAACCTCAGGTGGGAGAGTGGCACATGTTGGATCAAGAATGTAGAATGAAGATTCCACCTTCCACTTAACTGGTTCATCAGTGATGCAATAACCAGCCACATACACATGTATAGTGTGGGTTCCCATCACACTAGGGCAATAAGAGAAGGTGTGACTTTCAGCTTTACTTCCCATGATGGCATTCTGCAACTCATCGTCTCCTGGTGGTTTTATCTTCACCTTAACCTGGTTTACTCCAACTTTTTTATCCCTTCCTTGGCTATCCTTGATGGATACAATGAAAAAGGCATTCTGATGACATCTGGAAGAAAACATCTGTCCATTCTTCCCTCCAAGCATGCTGAGAATATACTGATCATGCTGTTGACTACTATCCTTGTCCCTAACACAAGCTATCTTGTCGACAATGAGGTCAACCGCCAAGGATTTATCCACCTCTATGCCAAAATTACTGGTGTGACATGGCTCCCATTGCAAGGCAACCTCTTTGAAATCAGGTAGACCAGACAGCTTACTCCTGCTGGTTAGTAACTCCACATCAGACATTTGGCTAAGAGCATGTTCAGCATGTTCCACTCCTCTGCTGATTTCCTCAAAAGCAAGACTCAATGTCTCCTTTTGATTTAGAAGCTGCTGGACTTTTTTATCACGCAACACAGTAATATCACTCTTCAACTGAGCTCGTTTACGTTCCAAGGTTGCTATGTTTTCATTGATGAGGTAATCAATCTCTCTTTCTGACTCCAAGGCCCTCATCTCTACTTGCTTCTTCACTTCTGACACCCAGAGAATTGAATTATGAAGACCAGATAGTTTCTTCTTTGTGTCTTCAAGGATTTGTTGGACTGCTTCCCTCTCCTTAGTACTTGCATTTTGAATGGACATGTACTTGTGGTTTCTGTGACCTTCTCTAACAACACAGTTTCTACACACAACATCGTTACAGGTTTGGCACAAGAATTTAGCAAGTTCCACAGGATGGTCCTTACAGGAAGGTCCACTTCCTGAAGCCATACAGTGTCAGATTATTGGTTTTATCGCACCATAAAGTCCTTTCAAATTTCCTCGTCAGCGACTTGTTTTACCGCATGTATTATACCTGTCTAGACAAAACAAAATAGAAGATATTGGTTGCTAGTACTTCTATCAATTTCTGGCACACTAGCTTAAAATAAAGGTCTTATAATTAGAAATTATCTGGTCTATGGATGATTTTAAGAAATACCTCTCAATGGCAGTTAACCTGATTTCACATTCTAAGAGGACGTCTACAGTAGCCGTATTACATGTTGATAACTTTCAAGGCAATTTCTGGTACTTTTGACAAGATATAAACATAACCACTTAACAGATTAAATCCCAAAGCTACAAATATTTTACTTTGCCGCTCTGTAAGATGGAGTTAAAGAGATAGGATTTTCTTTCGATCTTCCAACTGAGGCCCGGATTTGAGTTTGTACTGGTGAAAAGGTAGAAACTTTCAAAAACCTGTAAAATACTGAATAATGTTGCCAAACTAATTATGGCAAATATTACCTAACATCCTGTTTTCAAAGCGTGAATTACACTGATTACAAAACAAATGATTGATCCTATTTTATCGAAGCACTGCGTATGGAAAAAAATTTGTTAAACTTATGCGAGCATAAAGTTATTTGGAAACCAATATGGCCGAATGAGACTCTTGCAGATAACAATTTCTTCATCGCAAACAATATACTGGCACTGATACGGGTAATTTTAAATTGTGCGGATCGCCTCAAAATATTAAAGAAAAAGCGCCAAAATTAAATGCGGAAGGGTTGAAGAAGGAGTTCTGTTGTCCTCGAAAGATAATAAAAACTAACGCAGAAAGGGAAACAATCAACTTGTGGGATTGTTGGGGGTGTGTTCATCAATTGTAAACAACATTCTTTGACGGACGGAGGAGTTGAAAATTTGTTGTTATTGCAGCTGTAATTAAGTCGCCTATTTTTGGTCTTGACAACTACCTATAAGCATGGCGAAGGACAAAGATAAAAGGAAGATTTCTTTCGAAGAAACTAAGCTTTAGCGCCTCGTGGGGAAATTTGGAATCGTTACGAAATTCAAATTAAAAATATTCAAACGAGACAAAGAAGATGATGCAATGTCGCAAACGATAGAATTTCCTTCATTTAGCAAAACTCTGTACATAATTCGAAGCCCAAAGTCCAACGAAGGTATTACATTTAAAATTTTGGAAACCGAAACTCGCTCGCTTCAGTAAACACTTTAGAACATGAAAAATGCAAGTTAATCACTTTATCACGCAAAGACATCAAATTCGTCTGACGCTCTACCGTCTGGAAACCTGTTTGTTCACTAAAAAGCAAATTTCAGCGTACACTTCTCCAAAAATCTTACTAAATTTGTACTTGCTAGTCTCTGGCACCGTGGCAAACAGGTAATCTTCGCTTGGCCATCGAAACCGAAGCAATGGAAGAAATTCACAATACAGCCCTAAGCAACACGGGTCACGTACTGAGGCAGACGAACTTCAAAGATGATTTCAAAAGCAGAACGCAGCTAACACTGGGGGAAAATGGTGACATTAACCTTAAACTTACCTTATATCTGGCGTAGCTGAAGTTACGTTTCCCTTTTTCTTTCTCACGAGTCAACAATAGCAGCTGAAAAGGATTACTAACATCTATTTGTGATCTTTTACATTAGCGTAAGGGGACTGGGATTGAGTGGTAGATGCTGAAAAACATTTATGCTTATCAGTAGAATATTTTTTCTTCAGCAGTTTTTGTCTAGCTATGAATTTGTGTGGTCGTTCTAAAAAACAACGAATGAGGACTTCGTTTAAAAAGAAAAAGGGAAAAAGTCAGATTAACTAGAGCAAGCTGGGGAAAAATTAGGGGCGATAAAAGCTGTACCCGGAAGCAGACAGTCAAATGCTCACTAAGAAAGGAATATAGACAAGGATCCGAAATTTTTTAAATTGTAACTTCAGGCGTTAATAGAGAGACCCTGGCTCTAAACTCATGTGTTCAACAGCTTCTGTATAGAAAAAACTAGTGGCCATAACTCAAGGACTGGCTTCAACTGAACCGTGTTAAGTTGTTCCCTTAATTAACTCCAGGACTGGCATCAACTTAACTTGTAAAGTTGTTTAGAGACGCAAAGAGAATACAATGATGCAGAATTAAATAATGACAGGAAAATAACGAAAACACAATAATGAATCGCTTCAAAAAAGAATCGTTAGCTTCACGCTTGCTTGGAGTACAATATGACAAATACTGATTCACTATATGGAAAAAGCGTTCGTTATGAAATCCTGAATTTTCTCTTCGCTACATTTGGTTAACTGCGCGAGATTGTGCAGTCCAAAATCTTTGTAATGTGGCTCCATTTTCGCCATGAATATGACAGGACTTTAAGTGGTACTCTTCAATACACATTTCACAGAATTCGCACAAACAACTGTGCAAACATTATCAATAACGAAACTAAAATTTACCTCCAAATTACAGCTCAATGTAGGTTTCCCTTTCTTTATCTAATCTTTTTAACTGCCAGGCATCGAACGAATTCAGCGGTTTCAGATAATCATGATTTTTGTCATAACACGGTTTGAGGGTAGTTGACGGACAGTCGACGACTAAAAAGTGAAACCTTTAATTCGTTAACGCGGTACACCGAGTATGTTAATTGGCTCGCTTGTTTTGGTTATTCGGTTTGGACGCTTAGTTTGAGGAAATGTAAACACCGTGTCGTCTATTTTTAATGACTTTTTCGACACGGGAACTCAGCAATTGAATTTCAATTTTTTTTGGTATGTCGGGTCACTGCTGAGTTAGGCCGAGTTAATTACAAAAAGTTAACAAAAACTTGCCAATACCATACAAATTCAAGGCTAACAAGTTTTTACGCGCTGTAAATTTTTATGACAGTCGTTAACAGACCGATTCTTTCAATAAAGGATTGTTTATCAGTAATTGTCTGAGTAGCAGCTCGTCTGCCGGTAAGAGCAGCCCTGGAGAAGACTGTTTTCACGGTCTGATATCTGGGTGGGGGGAGGGGGTTCCACTTAGATCAATTTTTTCTCGGTTCTGTAAATTCCTAAAGTAAGCCCCTCCGTGTATAAGCCCCTCCGTGTATAAGCCCCTCCGTGTATAAGCCCCTCCGTATAGAAGCCCCCCAAATCTGAAACGCAAGAATACCTTCTATATTAAGCCCCTCTGAATATAAGCCGTCGGGGACTTGAATTTGGAAATTAATTATTAACTCTATCGAAAATGCAATCCCAAAGATATTTTAATAGGTTAAAACCTATTCGTAAGAATGCGACCCCATCTAGCGGGACATCCCTATTAGACTATAACTAGGGAGTGCACCCCGATCTTTCTGGCAACTTAGAATGCGACCCCATCCAGTGGCACATCCCTACAAGACTATAACCAGGGAGTACATCCCGGTCTTTTGGGCAACCTAGGTAAAAGTCATCATTTTAAGAGTCGATTACCTTATCCATGCGCCTAGTGTGTCTGAGCCTGTCCGAGGTCATCTACACAAAACTGACCTAATCGATTTGAGGAAACACGCAATCACTTCCTTTTATTACACGACTCGGGCAGTCAGAGGGCCAATAACTAAAATCAACCAATCAAAATGCTCTATTGCCGGTCAATATTCTCTCAGTATTGGACCGGGCACTATCCCGAATGGTCCCGAATGATACCGCACTTGTGTCCCTTTGAACTTCAGTTGTATAATAAATCTCTTCGTAACCAAGCTTGCTCGGGACCGCACTGGAAGAATATCGGCCCTCGGTCTTTTTTGTACGGACCTCGCTGCGCTCGGTCCGTACTGTCAAGAACTCGGGCCGATATTCTCCCAGTACGGCCCTCGCGCTTGGTTAATAAGATATATATATTTCATCATGACTTTCTTCTTTTCTCAAGCAATGATCAACAGAAGTGAACTTTATTAAAGCTACAGTCCTTTTCCACTTCGCCAAGCACATTGCTAGTAAAATCTCGCAGATGACAGACATAGTGGCCGAGGCAAGACATTACTTAACCTCTAAAACATTGCTAACTTTATATCATACTATGATTTATCCCTACTTGAATTTTTGTAACATCATTTGGGGGAGTACTTATCCGACTAGACTTCTCTCAATCTTCAAGATGCAGAAGGAAATTGTAAGGATCATGACCTTCTTAAATTATAATGAAGATACAAGACCTTTGTTTGAGTCCTTAGAAATACTGTTTCGTTTAGTAAATAGGCGTTGCCTTTGATGACAGATATATTTTAATTAACACAACTCGTGATTGACATTAATTCCTTACAATGATTTAAAAGTGTTGGCTTGTCTTGTTTTAAACCAGTTTTTTCAGAAGAATCAGTAAGAGAGAGAACTCGGTTTTTATATCTGTTCGCTTACCCGAATCTGCTAACCTAAAGTGAGAAACCTGTTTTTACGACCCGCCACAGAAGTAAGTTTCCAATCATGTTTTTCTTGAATTTTGCTACGAGATTAAGACTGAATTTGTGTTTTACTGATTTCCAGTTACAAATGTATTTCTCTTAGATCGGATAATTATTAAAGCTTGGATAATATTATACGGTTTGTGGTGGTGGTCTGAGCTAGCCAGTTCCGAGTAAGGAAACAAATACTGAAAATCTATGAACTAAACACATACCTGACAGCAGTTTTCATGTATTCATATTACCATGACAAGCTTCCTGTATTTTTTAATAACTTTTTTATTACCAACGATAACTTACATTCTTACAATGCACGAATAGTGTCACAGATACCTACTGAATTGAATCGAACAAATTATGGTAAATTTTCCATGAGAGATAGGGGAGCTATTGTATGGAACAATCTACCGAGTGAGATTAGAAACATAAATAATTCTTACAATCTTTTCAAAAAAATCGCCAAAACTATATGTTCAAAAAAATGATTTGTATTAGACGTATTTGAGTTTCTATCAGCATGTTAATAATATAAAATAATTGTGTATTTGCAAATCTCTGATCGATAAGAATTAAGAAAGACATTAATATCCGCCGTCTATTATTAGTAAACTATTTCAAATGATACAACAATTAAATGGGGATCTTTAAAAGAGCTCAGCAGAGCTTGCTAGGTCTCCTGCCGTATCTTGTTTATAATGTAGTATGTATTATGTGATGTAATGAACTATTGAAGGCGAACAAACATCAATCAATCAAGTGACTCACGGAACATGCGAGAGATAGGATGAGGATGAGGAGGGAAAGCCTGGGAACCAGTAAGTTTAGAATTCTTGGTATTTACATGACGTACTAACTTGAAAATTGTTGTCAAGAGACATCTTTGGAGGTCAGCAGAAAGCTAAGGAAAAGAAAGTTATTAATAGTTCGAATTGACCTCTTTTTCCAAACGAATTTTGGTGTAACCTATATTAAGAAGTGTTTAAGCCTCGACAGGTGGAGCAGGTTTTGATATGGACGCCGATAACTACAAGAACGATGTGAGTATAACTTGACACTTCCACGTGGCGATGTCAACTGGAAAAGCATGCTTTTCATATATTTGGACTATCTTTTGTTTTTTAAAAGAATTCCCTTCAAAGCGTTAGATATCGAATAGAACAAAGAATAGCAGTAGCACAATACATAAGATTCGAGAAAAGTTCGAATTTTAAATTTTTTGGTCTTCACATGGGCAACACGCTTGAAGTGCATTTTTCGGAAAAGAGTATTCTAACAGCTCGTGAGTATTTTTTTCCATGCCTATCCGAAAAAAAGAGTCAGATAGCTTCCCAGAGCTCTTGGGGAGCGATTTCTAAACATAATCGAAAAGACCAAACCCAGTAATTGAATGATTTTAATCATCCAATGATTAAAAATTGATTTCAAATCATTTATCTACTTGGCACTGACAAACCATGAAATTTTGCTGAACCCCATTCCATTTTTATTTCTTCTGATAATCAATTTCCATTTAATGGGTAAGATTGAATAAATGTCGTGACCTTCTTAACAATTGTTCTATATTTATAAAGTCTTAAAAATGGGCTATCTCACTCTAAACCTGTAGTTTTCATTAAGCAATCACGGGATGGATCGTGTTGTGTACTGTAGGGTCATCCTCGGTGTAAGAACCTGACGAGGTTTTCTTTGTTTCATGAGGTATTGTTTTTCTGTACGCTATTGTTTAGAATGTTTTGTTGTCTTTGTTTTACGCCACTCGTGAGCTTCACAGGTTTTCACACCGAGGATGAGCCGTATTGTAAAAAACCCACGGAAATTGAATTTGCAGCTTTAAATTTGATGCTGTTGTTTTCACAAGCTGAAATTAAATATGAATATGCATATATTCCTCACTGTTCTCCATACATCCTTAGGTGCTAAAGAGGATAATTTCTTTAATGCAATCATGAACTTCTTTGGCGATCATTCCCTTTATTCTTGTGACCTTAATGTGTGATTCAAGGGTGATATTGTAAGGAGAAATTATATGCTAGTCACTTTTAGAGATCAAAGATTTAAATGTAAGGAAATATTTGGTAAGTGTATTTTTATTGTGACCATTTTCCCCTGCCTTCACTATGACAACCATCGTAATATTTTATGGGTAGTCTTATTAAAAAAGTTTTCTTGCAGTCTCAAACAGAAATGCTGTGGGCTATTAAGGCTCATCACCATGCTGAAACATACTTCAAGGTGAGTGGTTTTATGGTTCAGGAGTTTATATGAGCATAGGTTTTTGAGTTAAAATTAATAGCCACTTAGTCATGTAGTGTACCTTTACCGGTATTTATTTATTTATATATTTATTTATTTTTTGTCAAAGAATGCTTGATATTATGGTGTTAGTAGCCTGGTCAGAGTGGATAAAGGGGATTTCTAACACAAGAAAATTGAAACCTTAAAACAGTAGAAAAGGATGAATGAGTCAAACCTGATAATCACTTCCATCTCTGTAATCTGTCTCTGAATTCTGTCTCTGAATTCTGCCTCTGACTTCCATTTCCAACTTCTGTCTCTGGCTTCCAACTCTGACTTCAAACTTGGTAGAATTAGGATTATAGTGAATACATTTTATACTTCTGTTATCATAAAAAAGAAAATTAACTTCTATCTGTGAATTTTTTTTTCACTGGTCTCACTGTTGTTTGGTTGGGGACAGGCACCAGAGACAGTCATTAACATGGGCAGTCACAAAGTACAATGTCATTTTATTAGCAACTTATCCCCTTTTATACTAAGACTTATTTTGAAATTAAAAATAAAAAATAGAAAGTACTATCATAATGAGGAGCCCAATTTTTTACTAATACTGATAGTAACTGCTATTTAATTTTTTTGTCTCAGCTCATTTCACAAGTAGATGCCTCAAGACTTCATTTAACAAAGTAAGTTGATTACATTTGAAAAAATATAGGGCGGTGCCTTACTAGTATTTGGGAGGCACAGACTTTAATCCCATCAAAGTCTGAATTTTTTTGCTAGCTTCTTTTCTGTAATTTCTTTGATTGCAGCTCACCTGTGAGGGTCAGTTCTGCCATAAACCATATATTTATTTAAAACCATGCATGTTTTGCAGAGAAAAATGACTGTCCAATTTGTTTATTTTCATTTGAGCTCACATTAAACAAGATTTGAAAGCTGATAGCTTGTCAGATATTTATACTGTAAACTGCTTCCTATAAGCCCTCCCCCCCTCCTCCCACCCCAATTATAAGCCCCTTTGGTTAAAGAACCATCCACTAGTAAACAGAAAAATTACATCCAATCAGAAGCCCTCTCCCCCTTTCTCCCTGATATAAGCGCCATCTAGCTCTTCTTAATTGTGAGAGATAGAACTCTGTACTACTTCAACCAGGACATTTAACATTATTGCAGAACAACAAGTTTGTTACTTCTTTTTGGTTATCAAAAATGAAGTTTAAGGGAAAAATCTGAACTCTAATTTTCTTATGTTCCAGTTTTGTTTGTGCTGTTAGTTTTAATTGTGTTTCAAATGAATTGCAATGAATTCAATTTAGATTTAGACTGCCGGTTTGAAAGTTGAGGTTTTGTTCAAGAATTTTCAGGCTTTCCGTGCTACCTAAGTGTAAGGAAAGACCGCAGATTGCCATGTGTTGCTTAGAATGGTTAGGTAAATTAAGATGTCTATCAACTGGTTTCGATGTGTCCTTGTCATTCCTCTCTACATCGCGAAGGTGTTCTCGGAATATAGATTCAAGTTTATTAGATGAATTGAACAAAGAAATACAGCCAGACGACAAAAAATAGAAACAGCAACACGACAACGTGCCAATTCGCATACTTCTGTCATGCACTCCCTGTAAAAAATATCCGCGAAATTCGCCTGCACTGAAATAACAATTTGGCATGTTGGATAATAAATAACTTATTAGACATTTTGTTTTGTAGTATTGCTGAGTATTTTTACTCGTTATTTGTATTTTGACTTGCCCCATGGGCTCATCAAATTATGGCACAACTCGTAAAAATACTCAGAGGTACTACACCACAAAATGTCTAATAAGATATATATATTTCACAGAGCATCCTCTATACATGTTCTATATCTTTAAAGCTGTCTTTTGCTCTTTTGATTTTACCAACCAGTTGGTGTCTTGCAGGTATGATGATGACATATACCGGCAGTTCAAACGCTATTTCAAAACATTAAAGGTACAGTAAGTAAACAAATTGATTGCACTGTTTAGATTATGGGTTTCTGGGATTCCTTGGGTATTGCACTATACATGTTGGTCCCTAAGACAATAAATACAAGCAAGAAATAGGCCTTGTGAATTGCAAGCTTTGTGTCCTCTATTATGGACAAGAAACTGCTGCACAGCCTTTTTATAGCAACTGGCCTCAGGGCTCAAAATTAACGGTAACCTGTTAACCAATGGTTGGTAATTTTCAACATTTGGTTATTAAAAAGGTGTCCAACTAACCCGACATGGTTAGTGAAACATCGGTGGACTTTGGGATAAAGAGCACGTAGACCTGACTGTCAGAGGAATATTTAGAATACTCCAGTTGTTAAATCAACTTAAACTCTTTTTAGAGAATGTTCTGTAGATGTACTGTTCTTGACTAATCATGGTAAACAAGAGGGAAATAAAATAGGTGCATAATTGACAACGTTTTCAGGTACTCTTTAATTTCAGCTACTCTTTAATTTGTCCGAGTCGTTATTATCAAAATGTTCAATATTTGAGATATCGTAACTTGTGAGCTTGGATACCAAACTTTATAATTTGGTTAGTAAAAAAGATGTCTACTAACCCAAAGGGTTAGTGATCCAAAAATTAAATTCGAGCCCTGGACCTTCATATTGCACAGTTGGGTAGCATCCCTTTAGTTTACTTTCCAAGTTCAGTGTGTATCTGGTAATTTATCCAACATATTTTTCCTGGTATGTAAATGAGCCACCCACTCACCCTGTCTTTCTAACTTAAATATAGAATCAGTTAAATGTTCATTATGATCATACTTAGTTTAGTTAATGTCTTCAAAAATGGGCAAAATCCAAGATGAAATCAGAGGTCCTATACCTTTTAGTTTAGATTAAGAGCTTTCTCTCACCACTGTATACTACTAATTGTTTTTGTGTTTGTGCAGTTTGACTGAACATGTTGGTGGCAAGTGTCTTTCGGTTAATATTTAGTTCAAAATGACCAGGTCCAAGAAATTTAACAAAGTCATCAAGAAATTAGTTGGGTTTCTTAATCATTCACCTTCACCAACTGTGTTAGAATTGGAAAAGAGAAATTAAACTGTCCAGTATTTCTTTGTGCAAGTAATTTGGAATTATTATAAAGCATTATTACCAATAGAAAATGGACCAGAACTGATCTTTTAATGATGATTTGATGATTAATTGCAATAATCTTCAGAACTTCAAAAGTGTTTAATCTACATACAAATTTATGAATGCACTATTTAGCAAATATGTGGTGACAAATGACTAACATCAATTATGGAGGTTGTTATCTGATCTACCACCAATTTCCTATGACTAATTTACAATTTAAGTTATTAAGGTTATTAAGGAGAATCTCTTGTCATATCAAGGAAGTTAAAAGGTTGACTTTATCATTTTCCTAACTATGTTTAGGTGGATGTGATCAAGGTAGATGACCTGAAATCTGAAGCAGCCAAATTGGTAGGTAATTACTAATTTTGTCTTTGCTTAGAGATATTTACTCTTTACCTGTTCATTGCCCATTTCTCTCTTTGAAGTAAAATTCATTAAAAGTACTTGTACCAGTATATGTAGTTGCAATGACGCTACAATACTACATGCTCTATTTTCAGGTTGTATTTTAAGTGATCAACATAAATTGGTGTTCTGTTATAGGTAAAAGATTTAGAAAGGATTGCGTTTATGTTAGTTGATCAAACAATTCAGCCCAAAGTAAATTTAACTGTGTATTCAGTGGTTATGTTTGTTTTCTGGTAAAGAGCATCAAAATAACAAAACCCTTCACTCAGTACATAGCTAGACTTACTTTGTACTGAATAAGTGTTTTTGTCTTCTTGTAAACATCAGTTTGGTGGGTACAGTGTAAAGCCTGTACAGGAACCAAGGAGCTTATCCAGTTGGGTCTTATCCCAGTTTCCATAGCATGAAGCAACAAGGAGTTTCACTATTCCCCCCACCCCCCTCCCCCTACCCTGTGGATTGGACAGCCAGTCCATGACAAGGTTACCTGCCAGCATTTGATCAGGCTTCCCTGACAATTTGCCAGTAGCCATTTATTCTCTTGGGTGGAGAGAGAGGCACTGTGAGAGTAAAATGTTTTGCTCAAGAACACAACACTATTAGATAGTTTGTGTCAATTTTAAATCAGGTGTAACTCATGAGTGACAAGTGTGCAATTTACTTAGGTTAGCTTTGGGCCTTATTTAAATTTTACTTCTTAATTTTTAGTGTCAATTTTTAGTATGCAATTTAATTAGGTTAGTTTTGGGCTGCATTTAAATTTTACTTCTTAATTTTTATTACGTTTCACATTGGAGATTATTCTTTGTATGGGTTAGGGTTAGGTTAGGTTCCCCCAATTATTTTCCAGTCATGCACTTTTTGTATTTTGTGTGATTTTATTTACTTGTATTAGCATGACAAAGTATTATTAAACTCAAACTTAAACTAAACACATTGACCTGGGCAGGTCTCAAATCCAGATATCTCACAAGGCCAGAGCATCTCTCATTTTAAGAGGATTGGTACGCATCTTGAAAACCCTTGAAAATCCTTAAATTTCAGGAGGCTGATTTCAAGGCCTTGAAAGTGCTTGAATTTCGTTTTGGGTCCTTGAAAGTCCTTGATTTTTTATTGAACAGCATCGAAAAATATCTGCTTTTGTTTTGCACCATCAGTAAACCCAAAACATAGATGTTAACAGAAACATTTTTCTTGGTTTTGAGGTAAAATTGTCATTACAAAAAGTCATTGAAATTTCTACGTACGGTCCTGGAAAGTCCTTGAAAAGTCCTTGAATCTTTGGCCTGAAAAAGTGTACGAACCCTGTTTTAAACATCAGCTTATAATTATGTGAATGTTACTCCAAACCTGAACCATTACCTGGAGATGAAGCATGCTACCTCAAAATATTGTTTCACTTACATTTCCATTGAATTGTATTAATTTCTCTTTTAAAGCCTTCAAAATATTGAAAATGATTAAACATCAATTTGAAAGGATTATTTATGTATTGTTATTTAATGAAAATGATTCTAGGTAAATTATTAAATATGTGGTTGTTTAGCCGTTGCTTTTTCATTGTCTTATCCAGAAGTGGAGGCCATTTTGTAATATGTACGAAGGGAAGATTGATGAATTCAACTTTGCAACGCTGTTGAGGTAAAATATTATTTCAGCTACCGTTTTTTTGTTGAAATGTGAGGTACAAACTCCATCTTATTTCTCTTTTTCTGCATAGAATTGACTGTTCTAAAGGTTATGAAGAAGAAAATACCATCCTAGGTAAGAAAACACTCAACATCTAGAGGGTACTGTAGTGATGACTTGGAAATATTTGCTTCGAAACTGACCACCTATGTTCTCTCAAGATGCAATTAGTTATTCTTTCAAATGACTGTCATACATTTTCTTGTAAAGTAAATAGGAGAAGTAAATTTTAAATCAAAGTAACACTCTAGCTGACAAGCTTGTCTGTTCTCTAACGCAGGGCTCGACACTAACTTTTCAACCTCCTAGCCAAGTGGCTGGTGACATCTTAGTTGCTACGACAATGTCAGTTCGTTTACCAGCCAAACTGGCTAGTGGAAACCAAAATCCACTTGCCAAAACTGAATTTCTACTAGTCTGTGGCTAGTGGGCTACCGTAAGTGTTGAGCCCTATAATCCGTTTGCAAGATGACACATTGGAGTCCCAGTAAGAAGTTACAAGCTAATCATTTTTGGGAGTTACATATAAAGGGTCAACTTTGTGGTATGGTTTCCTTGATTTTCAACTTCATTGCTGTTTTTAGGACAGGAAGTTAAAAGTAAGAAAAAAATTACAAGAACCTTTTAGATGTTTACACTTAATTCAGCACTTTCTGAAGGTCCCGCTTTTTCATTGTGGTCAAGAATCAAAATTAATCAAATCAGTGAAATTTCTATTGTACTCGCTCAAATGTGGTATTTAATTGCTTAAAGAATTCACAATTTCATTACACATACTGTTGAAGAGAGAAAAAGAATCAAAATAACACGAAATTCTTTTGAAGAAAAGATGGAAAATCAGAGTTTATGGTTAGGATACATCGACATCTACATAGGTTAATTGACCACTCCCCATAGGGGCTTTTCAGGGCCAACACCCCGCACCCATCCCACCCAGGGAGGACATCCACTACACAGTAATCTCGTGCGTGGGAAATTAACGTCTCCTACCCCTAACCCTGCAGGAGACGGGGCCCACGGTTTATTCGTCCTTATCCGCGAAGACTAGAATATCTATCCATTTCTGGATTATAGAAAGGTAGCAAATTCTCCTCACTTATTTTAAGACCATGAGTATTGGTCCGGCCGGGGCTCGAACCGCACAACACAATCCGGCGCTCTAACCAATTCGTGGGTTTTTATTTCATATTTTGTAATTACATTATCAGTCTGATTATTACTGAAAGTTTTTTTACATTTTGAAGTCCAAGAGTTCTTAGGTAACCTTTTTCGTTTATAGTTACAAGGATCCAGTTCTATGCGGTTGAGATTGCACGAAACCGACGGGGTCTGAACAAGCCTTTATTGGAGAAGTCTTCCGATACTCAACTCGGTGCACAAGATACCCAAGAAAGATAACATCACCGTGTAAAACATAGGGTACTGGTTCAGAGTTTGTTACTCTTGGTGTAATTGATATGATACAGCATTCTAAGAGTCACTTCATTCAGTTTTATTTGACAAGTGGGTTACCATGAAACAGATTATACGTGTAGCTATGGGTTACTCTAAGGTACCGTGATTATTGTTGCAGATTGATAATCGTTCAACGTACACGAGTTTGAGTTCTGGGATCAAAATTATAACTACATGTAACAGACCGTCCTCCAAAATATTCCTGAAAGTGAAACCTACGTAACATTAAACTACAAAGTAGCTAATTAAAATAAGCATCCTAAGTATGTGATGAATTTCCCTTCCTTTTCATTGGCTGAGAGCCCGTCAGAAATAGCCTGCTGATAATAGGGACTTCAAGCAGTCAGGACGGCAACGCCACGGAAGACGTCAATTAAAAAAGAGTTTCTACTTTTAGTTAGAATTTCGAACATGGCTGCCTGTGTTTACCGTCTCATAGGGCGCCAGACCTCAAACTCAACATAACGCATAAAAGTAGCGTTGAGTTCCAAATGTAAATTAAAATAATTTGCAGCCGCGGTTTCGCTTCGCAGACGACGCAAATTTTGGTGATTTCACGTAGTTGTTTTGCAAAGGACGGCTAAGAAATGTACAAAGTTTTAAAACGCACGTGCTGGGCTATTGTTCTGCCAATTAGATCTATTGTTTTTCCACGTTTTCGTTGCCGTAGCCGTCGTGGTTTGCTTAAAGTCCCTGATTACTCGCAGATACTGGCCTGCCATGTATAATACTGTTGAATTGTGTATGAGATGCAAATAGTGTCCATTCTGCACATGAGAATTCAGAGGGTGATTTGATCAAAAATTGTTATGAAGAAACAAACTTGGGGATGGAATAATTAAACAATGATTGAATTTACTTATCGCAAATGTTGTGGTTTGTCTGTGTTTTGCGATTAATTTCGTCATCCTTCGGTCTAGCCGAATAATTTGTCTCCTCGCTGTTTACAAATCAGGATGTTTTTCTTACGGTAACATCATTGCATAATTGTTCATCGTTTGGGCACCCGTACAAAGTTTAAATCAGCTACGTGGCACCTGGAAGTCCAAGAGCATCGTCCAAAGAACAAAGGTATTATTTTCAAAAGCTGTATGCGAAGCACCCTCTTGAATGGAGCAGAATCCTGGAAGATGACGAAGACCATCAGCCACAAGCTAGAAGTCTACCGAAACAGATGCTTGCGAAGAATTCTTCACATCTTTTGACCCAATCACCATCTCTTACGATGAGCTGCTCAGAAGAATAGGTACAGAACCCATCACTCAGCAGGTTCAGAGAAGAAGATAGGGATGGATTGGCCGTGTGCTCCAGTCGAATTTCACAATCAGCCCTTCCCAGAGTCGTCCTCCGAAGGTCTCCCGACGGCCGACGAAGGGGAGGCCTTTTTAAAGAAAACTTCGAGGAAAACTTTAGAAAGGGAAATAAGGGACAGAGGCTGGACAAGAGGGTAGTAATGGAAACGCCAGGGAACTGTTTTATTTCCACTAGAAAAACTTTCAGTTCATAAAAAGCGAAATTAGTTACACAAGGATTAAATAGGTTGCTTGCTTTGCGACGAAACATGTTGATTTTGGTCGATTTGCTCTTAAACCTTTACAGAGGGTGTTCCCCTTTGTGTATATTCCAAACACCCGTGATCCCTGACCCAGTTTCAATACCACGAATTAAAAAAAAAAAAAAATTAGTTCAGCGCATTTATTTTTACACTCTTGGTTCCCTTTCAACGCGGAACTGGCGACCATTCGCAGTTCTTTTACTGCTTCACGGTAACTGCAGACTGGTAGAAGGTGAGGAATACAGTACTATTAATAGTAATCAGGGAATTCTAAGTAGTGTTTAATCCTTGTTCAATCGCTGTGGTTAAAATCACGATATCTGATGAACCAACATTGATGCTTGTTTTTGTTACGCAATAGCCGTGCAGTTTGGGTTCGTGCACCCACTTTTCCATAGAGAGAGGCTTTTTCCTCCTTTTATTCCATTTCGATGATATTTAACCGAGTCGACGTCGATGGAACGACTTCCGATTTCGTCTGAAGCAAACAGGAATCTAAATAAAGTTTTGATTACGTTTGTAGTGAAATACAGCGCGCTTTTGATCACATTAAGGCCGCGAGCACCTTGCTATTCGCTGTTCTTCGATATGTACTTTACCGGGATCAACTTGGAAAGGATTTTCCTCTTCTGCGTTTTGTATTTTAGCATGTTATTGACTCCTTTACAGGATCTCAGGTGAAGGTGTTCTACGACTTTAGAACAATATTGGACATGTGCATAGGTATCGGAAAGCGTGACGCGGCATTCTTTCTATTTTAGAAACCACTGTTTGAAACTAATTCCTCTTCCTTGAAAATTCCACGTGAACGTTTAATGTAAAAAAGATTTAAACTGCATTCGCCGTGTAAATCATGACGATTTGTCATTTTTTGTTGCAAAATTAAGATTACAAACAGTTGTTCAAAGTATTTGGTGAAATCTGAATGGCTTGCTTTTTGGTTTAAGATATTTGTGTACATGTTTGGATGCCGAGTTTTATTAGTATTCATTTTCAATGGACTGTGACGTGTTTCGACTCTTGAAGATTTGATTTTCAATTCCTGATGGCGCAAAAATCTAATATTGGTAACGGATTAATTAATTGTCGAGTTGCCACCTAATCGCGCTGTGATTTCCATATAGCATTTCTTCACAGCCTCGCCTGTTTGCATTAAAAATTACCAAGTTTATGAAACTCAGTGGAAGAAAGGTTGGAGCAGAATCATAGATTTGCATTTACGAAACCGAAAATTGCCAGTGAGGGAAACCCGTCTGAAGGTACATCCCCGAGGAAGGGAAAAAAAAACTAGCGCAATCATTGACATCGCAAGGCAAACAATCGAATACACGAGGTCAGCAATATCCGAAACCGAAAAATCACGGAGGTTCGAAACACCACTCGATGACGTGTGAGCTAGGCTGAGTTCCAAACTCCATAATGTCGAGTTTCAGGAGTGGCACGTCTTAGAATTGTCGACCTAACGCGAACTCGAAAAAATTTACCATCGCTCGAATTTACAGGCAGGTAAGCTTCAATACAAAACTATTTCGGTGCCTTGTAACGCGACTTGTTGGATGGGTTTTTTTTTTTTTTTAATATTAACTTCCTTTCTGGAGCCCGAAGTTTCGATTTCCACTGAAGTGTTCTGAATGATTCTGATACAAACCTGCAACTAAACTGAAAGAGTGTGTCCAAGAAAACGCTGCTCAACTGACAAATAACTGCATTACGTGGCAGATATATTATAAAATATTCCACTGGTACCATTACATACGATATTGAATCTTGGCGGAAGTGATTTGCCCAGTGTCAGCTAAACGCTAAGAGAGACAACAAGATATGTTTCATTAACCCTTTTACCATGTTTTTGTCATCTCTTTTTGGTTTCAATTGTAGTTCTAGTTTGATACAAAATATGTTTTGATGCGGTTTCAACGAAGTCAGAAAGTTATCGTAGCTTAATAGCGTTTGTGTTTTTTCGGAATTTACATACCACGCATCACAGACCTTTGCATAATGTTTGCTTTCTCCACCACGACGATTTTTTAGTTAAAATTTCGAGTAAATTTGTACCATTTTTATTGCAGGAAAGGTGTTTAACATCGTTACAGTATAAAATTAAAATCAAAGCCGCTTTAAATCATTTGAAAACTTAACACAACTTTTCTTTTTTGCTGTAATGATGTAAACCGATGTTGCGAGTGCTTTATGAACAAGTTTCCTCGTCAGAAAACACTGAATTGCTCAAGGCTTTTCGAACAAAGAGATTTAACGATGAAAAACCTTTCAAGGACGAATTTTTAGTTCTGCGGAGTAGGAAACATGACCAGATTTCCGACGTTATTCGTCAACGAAAACTTCCCGATATAAACGAGCTTAAATGCGGTTAAACAGTGCAAGATTCGTTTCGCTACTGATTATTTGCGTAAAGTAATGTATTTAGGGACCTTAAGCAATCTGAACGGCACTTCGATTAAAAAATGAATTTATATTTATAGTCAGAGTTTCGCAAATGGCTGGATGTGTTTATCGTCCCTTACGGAGCTATACCTCAACGTCAGCGTTGAGTTGCAAATGGAAACTTAAATTACTTGCCGCCGGGGTTTACGTTCTCAAACTACGCAAATTTTGGTGAATTCGCGTTTTTTTTGCAGAGGACGGTTAGGAAACGTACTAAGTTTTAAAACGCACGTGCCAAGCCGTCGCCGTCGCCGTCGTGGTTTCGTTAAGGTCCTCAGTATCAGCGCAAATGGGTCGTGAATGTTCCCATGTTTCTTATGCAATAAGAAAAGAAGTCGCATGTGGAAATCCGGAAAAAACTGAAGTGACTATAATTATGAAGTTATAGAAGAGATTAATGTACAGGCAAAATATAGAATTTCCGCATCCCTTTCGGTCAGAGGAGTTGCCCCGATCCAGAAACGTGGTGTAAACGTCATGCAGTGGTTTGCCCATATTCAATACTGAATCAAAGACGGAACCATTTTATAAATTAAATGAATTATAGTTGGCTGTTACACTTCGCATATTTTTAATCTTATTTAATTTTGTTGTTGTTGTTTTTTCTCATTCGGGGTTTTCCCTTCGCACGATTAACTCGGTGAATGACATGGTTTTCTATATTTAAGCTCATGGAATATCACCGAACTGGTAGTTATTGGCCCAGCGACAGATCACTCGAACTCCTTTGCTAGTATAGTTTGGTTCTTTATGGTTTTATTTATTGCTCAAGGATTACAAAAATAAAAACTAACTGCTACGATTGATGACCATTTTCTTAATTCTCAAGACCTTGACATTTGATTCAAAGGTGACTATGGAGAAATAAGAAGGCATTCGCTATTAGTTAATGGTTAAGGGGTTAAGTCATCTCCTTTCTATGAACCACGAAAGTTCACTTTGGTTCTTTTCTTTTGATATGTATCATGATTTGTTTTATTAGCGTGAACAAGTATGTCTAGCCCATCCAACCAGCCGGTGTATCAACGTTTCGATACAGCTGAGCTTCTGGAAGAATTCCTTGGTAAGGTACTACATAGTTGTTTATCAGTCTTTCGATCCTAGAGGAATGTTTTTTTCTTTTTTCGCATAATTAAACCGTCATTGTAAAAATTTAAGTTGTCGTCATGTTCTGTGACTGTGTGTCATGGCTTTGTCTACCTAGCTGTTGTTTGCATTCTACATTTCAAAGCTGAAACTACCCTATCGAGCTGATGAAAAGCGACGGCAGGTTAAGTCAATCTGCCGGATTGCATTATTTTGGGATGAGTTTGTCTTTGAAGCATTTCCCTGAAAAAACTTGGCGGTGTTTTATTTAGTAGTTCCCTTGTGCTATCTCGATCTCGGCACTTAATCAGGGCACTTTTTAAGCGGTGCTAGTAAGGCAGTCGCTTTAATTTAGATGACCAAAGAAAGCTCAATGGTTTACGACCAGTGACGTAGTTGGCAGGTGCGACCGGCGTGATAGCACTGTTTCTTTGAACTAAGACCTTACCAAAATATATTTAATTCGATGATGTCTTCGATGGATTTTGTTTCGAAACTAAAGTCGACAGTAAACGTCTTTAAGGTTTCCATTTCGGCTACTTGTATTATTATACCGTTTGACATTTGCACGGAAGTATCTATCACTGGCTTTCAAAACTGGATTATTTACCTAGCCTTGGATTTTAGAGAGGTATAAAGCAGAAAGAAAGGAAATAAACCTTTGCAAGGCCCTAAGTTAGTGGAGAAGATCGGCTAAAAGGTGCCATTTTTAGCTTACCCTGCTTTCCTATTCTCTCCACTGACAGCCAGCGAGCTTGTTACAAAGGTGAAAGAAAAAGGCTGACATTTAGCATAAAATCAATGTTCATACTCAATTCGAAGGAGCTACAGATAAAGTTAACTTTTTTTTACAGAATTACGAACGGATTATTAGAATGAATAGGAATAATATATTTTTGGATATGGTTTTAAAAGAATGACTAGAATTTGCTCTAAACTATTGCTGATTATGTTTACTAACTGTCCATGATATCTTTTTCTTTCCTCTCACCAGACCCTCCCCCGGATAATCATAGCTTGGTCTCCATGGACCCGCCCGACTTTCTATCACAGCTAGTGATTCACACTGAACATAAACCCTTCAATCCTCTTCAGCCCAGTTGCCCCACACCACCAGACAGCGAAAGAACAAACACGCCTTCTCCCTTTGGAACCCACCCGGCTCCACCACACGTTGACTCTCAAAACGAGAACTTCGGTTACGGAGACCTTTTTTCCTGTGCTGCACAGCCCAGGGTTGATTTACAAGCGCCTTGTCGATACCAGCCTCCCAGCCTGCCGCCGAATCATGTAGGAGAAACCAATTTTGTCCGACACTCAGATAGAAGAGTTCAGGTGACCTTTGCGCAGCAAAGTGAAGCGTGTATCAAGATCCTTAATCCGCGAGCAGAATACGACAAAGTGCAGAAAAAGCATGGACATAGAGGGAAAATTTCAGAGCAAAGAGTAGCAAAAGGAAAGGTAGCACCCAAGCCATTTTTTGACACTGCAGACTTACGATTGTTTTTTTAAGTACAAATTTACTAGTGCTCTATTACAAATGCTGCAATCTGGTTGGGTACGCTACTCGATATCTATTACGCGATAAATAGCGAGTAGAATAACACAGCGCGGTTATAACTCTTTAACCCCAGAAATGATCAACATGTAACTTCTTCTTACGCTATCTCAGTTATATTAACTTATTTACAAGGATATATGTAGGAGCTAGAGAGGAGAATTAACAATCAGATATGAGGAGTTATTGGGGTAAACAAAATTGAAAAAAAAAAAAAAAAGCAAACAAAAGCCTGTGTTTTTGTAAAGTTTTAAACGAACAGTGGATTTATACCATAATAAATAGATTTTTCCGCATGATTTCTATTACGGTTGATTCGGGCTTCGCCCTCGTTAGCTATTACACTAATAGAAATCTCAAGTTCATAACTTATATGTCTTGAAAATATACAGTAGTAAAAGCTGTTGCCATGCACCGTTTTAATTTTAGTGATAAATAGCTTGATAATTCCGGCTCAATTTGGCTCTCAATGAGTTCTTAATGACTCCCTCCCTGTCTCCCTCCCAGTCTCCCTCCCTGTCTCTCTCCCTGTCTCCCTCCTTGTCTCCCTCCCTGTCTCCAAGACGTCCTCCCATGCTTCGTAGAGCGATACTGGTCCAGAATATCAGTCCATCTCCATGTGCACTCACAGAAATGCACTGGAGCTCCTAAAGTTCTATTTTAAGAAAGAAAAAGGAGGGAGCCATCGAGCCTTAAAATTTTCCATGTCGATGAAACATTTTTGAAGGTTCCTTTTTTGACTGGTTTCAGGTTGAGATGGAAATAGATACTCATCTGCCTCTTAGACACCTGGAAGTTTACGTGATGCGTGATTTTGAAGCTGAGAAAAAGCTCGTTGGTAAAGATCCAGTCGCTTACGGAGTGGGAGAGACAAGATTTCCTCAGCCGGTTGTCAAACAAATTGATGGTCTTGGTACGTACAGATCCTTGAACTACCAAGTCAAACGCTTTGCAAATACAAATGCGTAATTTCTTGCGATCCTTGAGCGCTTATTTCTGTCAAGATTAGACTGACTTTGAAAGCTGAATTTTTCACTGATACATTACCCCATAGATTACCCCTTCCCTGATTTCTCGGGTGAAACTTGCACGTTGGTTCTTCGGTGAAGAATCAACAGATATCTCATAGTTATTCCGCGGGAATAAATTTGTAGCATGGTACTGGATATTTCCTGGGAGATCCCTATCGTATTGGAAATTAAAAATTATCTGTAAATGACTGAATATGGTTTGTCTTCAGAATAGGAAGTCTAGGTGGGGGGGGAATTCAGGCTTGGAGTTGTACTTTCTTTACTGTATCGTTCAACGTTTGGTTTAACTTTTGCCTAGCTCCGATTGATTGCAGGGGCTACGCAAGGGTCCTCAATCGATCAGTGAAGGAAGTAAAGCAAAACCAATACAATATTGCATTCTTACCGTAAACATTCTTCAATATGTGAACCTAAAAACACACACTCTCTCCCCCCCTCCCCCCCCTCTCTCTCTCTCTTTCAGGCCAAAGCTACAAGTACGTTTGCACAATCGACCTCGACTCCGTGTACAAAACAGAAGATGGAAAGGAAATTTACCGACTGGAAAAGACGAGAGGCTTAGAATACAACAAATTCCTTCTAAAAGTTTACCTCGAGTTCAACAATAGAGAGCATGTGGTGCTTTACCCTTATGACTTTGTACTCAAGAGCAGTAAGACTGTCAAAGGTATGCACATTGATCCTTAAGAGGGTCTTAAGGTTTCCTAGAGCGCCATAATTAATATAAGTACAAGAATAAATCAACATGTATCTATCTCATGGAAAAGAAGATGGTACGTGTTATATGTGGTGATAATCGCGAGATATGTCGTTTTCTTGGTCAGTGGTGCTGTCATACTTGGAAAAAATGAAATTGACATGTTACTTCCCACTGAGGTCAAACTTCTGACCATCTGAGTTTTGGTAATTCGTCTGCTTTGGAGCGCTTTTCGATTTAATGTCGTAAAACCAAAACCAAAGAAATCACAACAGCAAATCATAGCGAAGGAGGAAGTCAAGATAGCGCGGGAAAATGCGAGTTACTAAGACGCCGCAGGTTCTAGTTTGCATCTGATTGGTTGACAATATGGCGCGAATTTTCTGGACCAATCATATAGAAAAGAAAAACAAAACGTATCCAATCCTATATTGTTTTCGACACTCAGTTGCTTCAGCAGTAGGAGACTCCCGATAACTTGGCGTATAAACTTGGTTCATGTCACAAACATTTTGCACCTATACCAAGCAACCAAGCCTTCTGTCGCAATTTGAGTGAAGGCGTGGTGCTCTTGTAACAGCGAAGTACCTGAAGATGATGCCATTTATCAAGCTTAGTGGTTAGATGAAAGTGTTCAAATGAAAAGTGACACTTTGCAGTTAGTGACGGATGAAAAAGAAAATTATTCCTTTCGTGGGGCATTCGGGTTATGTTTAAGCGATGCGAAGAAGACTAGTATCCCTTAAGAGTGTCTACTTGTGGCTCGGGGACAGATGTTTTCTGTTCATCCCAGTAAAAGATACCAATTAGTCACGAGTATTGAGTATTGCGTTGGAAATTTTGATTGCTGTAACAACTGTTTTGTCGCTCGATCCTGTGTTACTGTAGACAACGCAAATGATCCAAAACACTCATTCAAGCCCGTACAAGATACGGTGATCACCTTTCCCGTGTTTAAAAATAAATTTCTTCCATTCTATTCCAAAAGTTCCAAGGGAGCCTCAAAATGTCCGCTCACCTCAAGCTGGTACTTTAGCCTCTCCTCATCAAGTTCCTTCGGGTAAGAAATACTTATTTATTAACGACATAGGATAAAAAAAGTTGATTATTTCAACGGGGAAATATCGATGGTGGAATCTGGGAATTGAACTGGAATTTCTTGCCCATTTTCTCGTGAAAAAAAATGGAGATTATGGAACCGAGAATGAAAAACTTGTACAAATCTCAACTGTGAATCTTAACGTAAGTCACTTATCACAGTTTTTTGGTCAGGAGTGCGATAATTTGAGCAACAGTGATGTTAAAAGCTCCAAAACAAAAACAATTTTTTAAGGACTGGAGGATCTTGAAGTATCTTACTGATCTTACTGTTGGATTCTAGATGAACTTTTGCCTTGTAACGTATTTCGAGAAAGCGAGAGATCAAAACATGGAGCACCGGAGTTAGCTTTGCATCTGATTGGTCGAGAGCGTAACATGCGATTTCTTAAGAGCTATTTCTGACGCTCCTTTGAGACGAGCTTTTTTTTTTCCAAAGCTTAAGCTGATGCACCTACCTTTCCCCCCTTCATCGAATCAAAATTTCTGAATGATTTATTTCATTGCTGCCTACAGATAGGCGGTATTCAAGCTTTATATGCCAACGAATCGAAGCGGAAGTGGCTAGGATATCAAACCTCGAAGTTGAGCAGATAAAAACAGCGAACCACGACATCGCTTACTATATCAAACGGCAGAATGAAAGCCCATTTGAGGAAGGTGACGTGGTGGGATTCTTTGAAAGTGAAACAGGAAGCACTGTTATCGATTACTTGACCAGTGATAATGCTTGTGAAGCCCGGTTGGCTGGTGTGATAACGAGGTCAGCGTACTTAGTGGGGAACACTGAGCGATATGACGAGGAAAAAGATGGTAAGTAATGGTTGTGGTACGTGGTGCAAAAACGACTCGGTAAATCGAATTTTTTAAAAGATCGCGTAACCAACAGCAGTTTTTGGTCTATAAACTTAGAATAACTACGAAACCCCACATTTTAGCGGCGAACGTCGCTTTTTGGGATGTACAAGACTGTAAAGGCTTAAATTCCGTGGCCTTTTCTAGTTGCCCGTTGGTGCATGGTCAAACTCAAACTGTAGCCGCTTAAGTATTTTGTTTTCTAGGAATCTAGGAACCGTTCCGATGGTATTTTTTAAATGAGTTTTCCTTTTGTTGTTGTTGTTGTTTTTCTTTTTTTTTGGAAGGTGGGGGGTCGAAATTACAAAGTCGTAGAGATATCTTGTCTTTCTATTTTAATCCAGATCTTTGTGATATTTTTCTCCGTTGTGATCATTTTGGTTTTGTTCTTACGAATTTCTGTCTAGATGTACGTTATCAGGGCTCGACACCAACTTTTCAACTTACTAGCCTAGTAGCTAGAAACAAATTAGATGTTACAACAATTTAAGTTTATTTATTAGCCAAACTGGCTAGTGGAAATCGAAAACCACCAGCCAAAACTGAATTTCGATTAGTCTGTGGTTTGTTGGTCTACCGTTAGTGTCGAGCCCTAGTTATTTCAACGAACCTGTGTTTCTTCTTAACACTTAGACGCTGATCTTGTCTGCATCATCGGAGAGATAAAAGTGAAAGTCATAGGTGAAGTGAAACCTGGGGAACTCATATACGCTTGCCCCAGTAATAAGCTCCCAGGTGTGGCAACTGCTATACCCGGACAAGGTACAAAATTGACATAATTAACACGTCCATTATCGGTACGATCAAAGGTTCTATCAGCTCAGCAATAAGCGATAAACCTAGAACATCTCATTTCATCTTTGTGTAAGGGTGTAGACAATAGAGATAATTATCCTTGAGACAAGCCCGCCATCCTTTGGAGAGCTATTTGAAAAGGAATTTCAATCCAAAAAAAAATCTGTTTGAGTAGAATTCAATCCACTTAACTGTATATTTCTGAAGTAACTCCTTTCTTCCAAAGTCACTAGAGCGTCCGTATCCTCTTGCCTTTAACTTAGATTAACTCCTACTAAGCGACGCATGAGATTCGAGTTCGTGCTTGAGCACCAGGGTTACATGATGTCTTCCCCCAAATTTAAGAGGTATGCCTGGTTCTCATTCTACCCCATATTTCTTTTTTTTTCCATTAAAAACACTTGTAATCCTTTCACTCCCAGGATCTCACCAGTAACTCTCCTTCAGGCTATCTACCATATAATTCGTGATGATGTTAGTTTGGAGAATTTGGTATTGAATCACAAATAATCCCTGACTGATATATATTTTTTTTTTATTCTCATCACTTGTCTGCTTGATAATATATTGATATTGTAAGGAGAAATTCTGTCTTGGTCACTTTATAACTCTGTAAGAAGCTTTTTATTTTGTTATTATTTTTTTATCTTCTTCTTTGGATACAGAGTCAACATGACACTAACCAAACTAAGGATGTAATTATATTTCTTTAATTTCATTGGTCGTTTAGGAGATGAGCGACGGACCTTGATTGGCTATGCTATGGGTGAATCGTCTGGTCCTGGTGTTTCCAAGGTAGACTGCATTGTGTCTTTAGTTTTGAGCATCGGTGCTAAGGAGCAGCGACGAGCGCTGGACCAAATGAGACTAAGTATCGAAGAAGTGAGGGAAAATCTCTACACAAGCATAGATACAGTTGGTGTTAGAATTGCAAGAATGCAAATAGGCTGGAGAGGTAAGAAATAGTGGAGATAAGGGACCTTAAGCAAACCACGACGGCAACGGCAACGAGGACGTGGCAAAACAGGAGATGTAACTGGCAGAATGATATCTCTGCACGTGCATTTTTAAACTTTTTACATTTCTTAGCTGTCCTCTGCCAAACAACAACGTGAAATCACCAAAATTTACGTTTTCCGAGAATGGAAACACCAACTGCAAATTATTTCAGTTTAAATGTAGTGCTGAAGTTGAGGTGTGGCGCCATGAGAGCCAGTAAACACATCCAGCCATTCACGAAATTCTTACTATAAATTTATATTTATTTTTTAATTGACGTTTTCTTCGTCGTTGTCGTCCCGACTGCTTAGAGTCCCTATAGAGTGCGATTTACGACCATGGGATTCTCATGTCACCATGAAAATTATTTTTCTGAGACAACCACTTTGATAAGTTTGGGAGCAATTCTAGAAGGTCGCTAACGCCTGCACTTGTATTATTTAAGAGCTAGGAGCGCTTAGGTGGGGATTCTTTTTCACTTAGGTTTTCTCTTTGATTGACACAAATTTCAGATGACATACTTGCCTTTAAGGGTGCACAAACTCTCATGTAGTTAATTTATAAAAGGGTCAACTAAGGGGGGTACTATTAGCCAAAGTATAACAGAATCCTATTACCTCTTTCTGGGGACACGCAATAATGTTCGGGAGCGATGGATAAGTATCCAAGGTTACTTCATAGTCATACAGTGACGCAACTCCACTGGACAGGAAATCAGCTAAAGTGAACTCTGAGATACCCGGAAGTTTTGATGACAGGACACCTCATCCAACGTCAAAACCACAAAATTTATAGCACTTAACAATGATTGGATTCGGTTTTCCCATGGTAGTGTCCAATGATAAGGCCACTCCTAGTCTCCGGAAAGACTCTCCTCTCTTGTCTATTGCCTCTACAAATGACGTTTCTTCCACATGACACGGAACTATCTTTCGCTCTGACGAAGGGCTAACGGTAGAAACGTCAGCTTTGAAACTCTTTCCGGTGGCCAGTTTACTTTATCAACTCAGTTGATAAAACCAAAATTATCCCACATATCCATATTGATATCTGAACGGAAAAGAATGCCAGAAATGATTAGTCGTGTGACAATGATAAATCCTTATTCCCCTGGCTCCGCAGATAGCAGTGCTAATCGAGGCGGGCCAGGATAATCAGTAAAATTCAGATAGTGACACCAATGCATAATGCTCTATTTTGTCATTTTTAGGGCTGTGGAAGAAACTGCTAGCAGTAACTGTATTCCTGGCAGTAGCATCTCTCGTTTGTGCCCTGATGTTAGCTCCGAGTTCTCCCTACGTCAAAGCCAAGTGCAGAGCGAACAGTATGAAAGACCACACGCTCACCTTTAAATTCTATCCTAAGGATTCAGACGTAAGGGTTCTCTTTCTATTAAAGCGCTTTTCGAGCGTTGTTGAGCCAAAATCAAAGTGATGACAACGGTGTATCAGAGCGAAGGTAGCCAATAAGAATTAAAGTTAAAACAAGCTTACTGCCTAAAGCGCGGGAAAACGTGAGTTGACCAATTGTCATTGGTGTTAGTTCTGAATTTGATTGTTTGGGAGAGAGTGATGAGAGTGTTTTCGGCGAATCAGAGCTTGAGCAATGCGGACAAAAACTGAACCAATCCAAACTTACTTTCGACACTCGAGAGTTAATTGGCTTTGTAATAAAAACCAAGAGCTTTCTTTCCTTTAAGAAACTCAGTCTTACATAAAAACGTTGGTGGGCTATGGGAAAGTGGAATAATTCGAGCCACGTGTGGATTTGCTCTTGAAGTAGTTTTGAACATTGTACCAACAGTGACTATTTAAGATCATTTCAAACGATAAATCGTGCCTTTCTTTCTAATCATAAGCAAGTTCTCGAATATGCGAATTGGTAAAAGGGAGCTAACAGCGGCTATGAGATATAGCATTTGTTTTTCCTTTACTTCGCCCTGCGATTGGTTCGGAAAACTCGCATCACCCTCGTAACAAATAAACTGATCACTTGCGCTTTCCCTCGCCGCAAGGAATTTGCGCTTTCTTACTTTGAGACCTTAGTTTGAGACCTTTTTTTCGGTTTTTCAACTCTCAATCAAAATTCGCTCTGAAATGTGTTTTATGACGACTGACTTATGTGAAAACCTTCCAAAAATCACAAAGCTGTACGGACTAACGACCTCGTTGGTTTTCAATTTTTGGAGGGATCTCAAATCAAAAAGCTAATTAGCACCAAAAATTGGAGTTGTTTCCTTAAGCCTGACTCTTCTTCTCTGTTTTGTTTCTAAGGAAGAAATTATTGTAAAAGGGTTGGAGTTTACTTGGAAGAATCTGAAAAAGAAATTGAGCCTGAGGTTCAACAAAATGAATGAAACAGGTAGGTATTAAGAAAATTTGATCTGTCCTTTTCTTTTACTCTCTGATTCCTAGGAATGAACAGAATGTAATTTCTCCTGTCACTTTTAAAACGCTGTAAGCGGGGCAGGTAATGAGAATGAAACGATCATTCAGATATCTCTCCTTTGACCTACACCAAATCCTGTGCATAAGCCAACACTCGAAAGATGTGAGGTAATCAAGCAAGAAAATGTCTGTTAAAATGTCCTCTTTTAAATGCTGAGCTTGTGTGGCAACCTAGATAAATCACGCTTATTCGATGCAAAAAATGGCTGAAGAGGAATAGATAAATGAAAAGGGAGTTCTCTACTGAGCCGTAGTGGATCCTAACACTTTTTAGTTGTTGTTATTTTTAAAGAGGAAGGGGGAGGGCGTGGGCGTGAACAGTGCAACTGCTACCTCCACTGTCATTTATACACAATTTGTAAAATGACCGATTTGTTAACAAGGAACAAAAGATGAATTCCAACGAGGTTCTTTTAAGTTCTGTTAGCTCCAAGCATTGACTGACGCTATCATATTTGGTTGCAACTCCTTTTTGTTTCGGGTTATATGACTGGTTCAACATTTTTCTAAGTGACCCCAAGCACTATGTAACCACATATAAGCACTATAACCTCTTAGATGTTTTTCACGGGTTCTGGTAACAAACAGCAAGCTGTGTTACTTTGCAGTGAAGAACCGTTACTTTCTGAACAAGATTCGCTGTGAGACCGGTGGAATTCGCGCTGTTGCTTCGTGGCTTGATCCGTCACCAGTAGAACCAAAGGTCAATGTGCTTGCCGTAGATCCTAATTGTACCCAGGTCTTCTACCACAATCGGAAAGAGGGGGAGTGGCGACAGTACCACGAGGTAGCTGACGTTCATTGTCATCCACCGTGAGGTCGCTAACAAAAAACTAGTCATTGCAACAGGAGTGTGACAGCAGATAGTTTATAATTGGTTTTCATGCAATGTTGATTATTACCAATTTTACTTGTTCATTATTCTAGTTAAAGTTCCCTTTTTTAATGACTGATTGAATCGAAGGCCAGAATGTTTTGCGAGCAAGCGAGCTAAATAGATCTAGGAGAAAAGGAACACTACGAAATTTGAGCCACAAACACTTAATGCAATAATTTTATTTGCTGTGTTGATTTGAAAACGGACTTGGCCTTCATGATTTTGAATGTTTTACTCTCGATATGGTTTTAAAGGAGATTAACAGCGCAGATGAACGTATCTTTTCATCCTTCAGAACAAATATAGGAGCCGAAAGGCACTCCCTTCGAGGTAATCAAATCGTGTCAACGAGTTCCCCTGAAATTGTGAAGTAGAGCTTACTTATGCCAGATGTGAAATAAACGCAGAGGTTGGGAACTCAGAATAAAATAGGGTCACAATTTGAGAACCGGGCGCACATCCTCTATATAGATTACTGATTTTAGTGATACCATAGGCGCCACTCGAAATTATCGTCAATATACTGTATATATAGAGCCAGATATTCAGGTGCATGCAGACAGAATTATATTTTTAAAAGCAGGAGTACTTTTGTCATTGTACTACACCAGTGTAGTGATACCAGTGGCTGGTACAGCCTGAAACTCTGATGGATTTTGAGAAAGGCCTATAATGTATCGGACCGCCATCGAACCAGTTGGTGTTCAGTTTGCCAGATGCTCACAGGAAATCTTCTTGGCAAACGTAGAAACATGTTGATTTCACACATAAACTAATTAAATATTTAGTCGTGTTCGCACTGAAGAGAAGTCGATTGCTAAGTTTTGGCTGGTCGTTGCAGAATATGAAGTCTTGGTCTGAGTGGGCGCAACACCTCTGACTCAGCGAAACCCAGCAAAATTAAAAAGGAACAAATATTGCAGAGCTCAGTGAACTCGGATCGAAGAATTTTATATTGGAGAAATATAGCCTGAGTTTGATTTACGACAGTCACGTACATTGGTTATTTATATGATTACAATAAACTTTTTTTTTTTTACGTGTTTGCGCTTCATTTGAATAATGAAAAAACCTTCTGTGTGCTTAATGCGTGATCCACCAACAACATCCATTTAATGGACGTGTTTCCCCGAAATAATCTTAAATTACACCTAAATATTAAATGTTTAAACGGGGAAAAAAACTGACATTTAAAAATCACCGTAATGGGTTTATATCGTCAATAAATCACTGCGGGTTATCTTAAATCCGCAATAGGAAATCACGCACACACCGTTGTAGTCGCCTACAATTATAACGCTTCCAGTTAGTGGTTCCTCCAAAAGCCTAGCGTTGAAAAGACAAAAAAAAGAAAAAACCAAACAAAGGAAACCTTTGTTCTCTGTTTGTGGTCTCAAAAGCAAGACTGCTAACCATCTTGAGTTTAAGGTAGGTCTCGTAGTATTATTAGCCAAGTTCCAACAAAGGAATACCGACTCCCCTTTAACCGCGTGTTAAGTCCGTCTTCCAACAACAATACGAGTACAAATCTTCAGTTTGACTTATGGTGAATAGATTGCTTGCTCTTTTAAAAATATGCGTTCTCTAAGTATGTTTTTGGATCTGGATTTGCGTGGAATGAAATTTTAAGTATGCTATATATTTTTTCGGTCGGTTTTCTTTGAATTACATAAGCTAGTGTTGATGTTATTATTAACAGTTATTGCGGTTTTTTTCTCTTTGATTTCCCGTTGATATGTTATCTACTTAAGTAAATACCTTGTAATTTTAAGAGTTCTTATGAGTTATTCTAAGCTTATCGTGATGTCTTGTTAGATACCTCTCGTAGGAAAATATCGACTCAGCGAATGCGGTCTAAGTCTCAGAAAAGAAGATAACTTTAATATCTCTAAACTTGAATTCGATTCAGTTTTGCAATTACTGATTCTGCCCAAAATGGGTTACTTCACCACAGCCACGGTGACTTCATGAACGTGAATTAACAAAAACATTACTGCTAAAACGTGTATTTCTCATTTGCTTGTGGCTGATTTACCATGTGCAATTATTTCTAAGACATCTGCGCGATGTTGTTTTGAAGTTTAAAAGCCAATCGTTTTGTAAGGAAAATCCATTTAGCTGATATCTCCCGCTATTTTGAAGTTCATTTGAGCTTGTCTCGCCACTGAAAGGTGACGAGAGGACGCCTGAAGTCCAAACTACAAAACTACTCACAATATTTTCCTTGCTTGAGGTAAGAACTTTTAGTAGTTTGACAGTTTGCTAACGACATCACATCGTCTCTTTTTGTTGAGCGAGTCAAGGTTTTAAAGTAATTTCACTATTACAGGCTAAGGAAAGACAGTTCTCTATTGAATTTCACTGCAGTGCGCCTTATGTTATTCGGCAATTTTAAAAAAAAGATTTCAATTTGTATTATCATGCATGATAAGTTCGCTGGCGTATATTTTTATTATATCAATCTTCTTCGTTTCGAAGAAAAGTAAATGGTGATTTTTTTATTACCAATGGCTATATCAATTAATCGTTTTTAACTTCAGGCATAAAAAAAATCTTCGTTTTGTTTGATTTCACGCCTCCAAGACAAACCAATGTCCGGTTTTGTAAACTTATTCGCAACCATGTGCTTCTCGTCACTGCCGTAGGAAGGTTTTACCCTTTTAAGAGAAAGAGGAAATGGAGCATAATCTGTTTAAAATGGCCAACTTTTTCGGCCAGCCTTCATTTTTAATCATTTGCATTGTTTAAAATTTAAACTCAAGTGAACCTCGAAAAGCCCTATTGTGGTGAATTCTTTTCTTTTTTTCATATATGAAATTTGATTATTATGGCAAGCGATGTTCATGGTTGAGGAAAGGGAAAATACGTCTTCGTTGCGTTTCTTTCCCATCGACCTCGGGCTAAATTAGATTCCGATATAAAAGGATATTAGAAATGCAAAAGACAACATCAATAGGAATCTTTTCGAGTTTCGAGAAACAAAGCTGGAGTTCTTAGCATATTTTCCTTTGAGAGCATGTTCTGAATTGATATTTTTGATTGATAACCGAAGTTTAATCATTTGTCTTGAAGACATATTTATTCCTTTGCAAGAGACTTTAAGACGGTGCATTACGCAAACATTTTTTTCGGTTAATGACTTTTCCTCTTTTAATTCAAGGCGAAAGGAAACTAAGTTAAGCAAAAGAACGCACTTTATTTCGGTTTACTGGCGTAATAACCCACGCAGGAAGTTGGAAGATTAAGAGAAAAGCTCGTAAATTACGGGCTAGTGGGGAATGATTTATAAAATATTCGAGTGTGTAAACGACAGCTTTTTGACCACTCAGCGCGCTCGTACTATCTCTGTCATCGGTAGTTCTACTATTTTTGGGAATAATTCGAAAAAGGAAAAACTTCGTTGCTATTAAAACCAATGGAATTTTCTTTCCTTTCTCAATTATCGATGTAAATTGGCTCGCTAATGAAAGATAGGAAAAGATAAAAAAAAAATTGTCGTTTGACTACTTATTGCACAATGCAAAACATAACAGAGCCAAAACGTTCCCCTTAATTGATTTTAGCGTTAAGAGCAATTACGGTTGTTAAATGTTTTTTTGATTGTATCACGAATACCACTTTAAAACTGGTCGATTTAATAAATCGATGGATTTTTTTTATAATGATGTACATGTACTGGACAAATCAAGCACAATTATCAGTACGCAACAAATGTTTTGGGTTGAGTTTAGAATGATAACAAGATGCAATTGAGCTTCGCTAATAAATGAGTATTTATTTATCACTAACCTCGAAAATTTGAAAACCTCTATATCTTCCTTTGTGCCTTTTTCTAAAGTTAGGGTCAAGTTCAATTTCTTTCATTGAAACTGTTTTTTTTTTTCAGTTAAGCGGAGTAAATGAGACGAGGAGAGGTCTTTAGAAACGTATGTGTAAAGCTTCAAATGTATAGGTTTTGTACACGAACTGAAGGTCGTTTGTATCAAACAGTGTTTATTTTTTCTAAGAAAATCATTGAAAGAGCTTTTCAGAGGTCAGTTTTCCGAACAAGTTTACCCTTTATAACTGACCACTTTGGGTTGTAACCTCTGACACGATTCTGACCCCGTCCCTTGACCCAGACTGAACCTCAAATGTTGGAAACGTCAGCTGTGCTTGAATATTGAAATAAATAAAATGTCTTTGTAATTGTTGGTAAATACTCTTATGACGTCACTATATACGTAAGCATACAAAAATTATCCCCAATGTATGTCGAATCGTCAAATTCCGTCGGTTGTTGTATGATTTACGAACAGTTATGGAAGAAAATTTCATTAATTCATGGAAAGTTCCAGTACATCATTCAAAACGCGCAAATCTAATTCTCAAGATTGCTAGTAAGATGCGAATTCTCTATTCATTTTGTACTTATCTGACTCACTTCCGATGAAGTCTTTATTATTTTTACCTGACCATTAATGGTTTAATAGTGTGTTTAATTTGTCCTGCTCTCGGCTATCGGTAAGTGTATCACACAAGACGCTAATCACAAACGAAAATCGATATATTCTAGAATTTTCTATTTATTCGACACTAATCGTGGCAAATATCTTATTTACAAAGTTTGTCTTGTTACAAATTACAGCATCTGTCACTTCAATAATATTAACTGAAATGTATCCCTTTCGTAGCGAAAACAAACCTCTCTAGATTTTAAAGGTTTGTTTTAATACGATCGTTGGAAAATAAGCTTTGGCTATGCTTCGAACCGAACGCTACATAACTACTAAATTATTAACATTGGTAATGACTCAAAGAAACGTTTTGACTGAAACGAATTCGAGACATTTCCTATGCAGTAAACAACGCAATTAAATTTTATGGTTTTCTTAACTATTAGTGGTATTCAGTTGATAGGTGCTTTTTGTTTCAATCTCCCATTCCCGAAGAGCCGACTTAGTAATGCATTTTCAATAGACTTATACCTTGTAGCGTTACTTATTTTTAATTAAATGTGTTTTAGGCAATTTACACCTGTCAGCCAATAAGCGTGAAAAAGGATGTTTAGGTTCTCTGGCCAATAGGAAACGATGTAGAAAAATGAATCTTATTGATATTAATAGCTGTTGAGAGATTCTAGTTAAGAACACAGTGAGTTGAAGCTTCTCTCAAAAAAAGAGCCTTTCATTGAACATACAGTCGCTCTATTACACTAACAGCTAAGTATTTACACTAACACTTGTTATCTCTCCTTAGAGAAGCCGCTCAAAGGGGTATGGGAGTTTCGTTTACAATGAGAAAGGGAACTGTCGTAATGTGGTTCCTAATTGCGACAGTCTTACACGGACTACTAACGAGGTAAGTAATGAGAAAAACTCAGACTGAGTATCCGTTTAATTATCTAGAGAAGGTCCTTAAGACTATCCAGATTTGGACTGAAGAAACTAGTGGGATTTCCTTTACCCTTTTCCTTGCTGTTTCGATATTTTCAACGCGTGTTACACGTAAATACCGGCAGCGATTCTCGCCCTTGTTTTTTAGTTTTACTAGAAACAGCGTGAGACGCCAAGCTGACCAGAAAAATGGCCGAAGTTTACAAAACAATCACCCTATTTATCTGAAGTTTGAATTCAAACTTACCGCTCAGAAGTGAACGTACAAAAATGTCAAAGTGAAAGAACTCAACAGTCGCCCGTGTGTTTTGTCAAACCTTTTTAAGACCAATAATGGAAGTAATTTAGTTATAGCAAGACTCTAATATCTTAATAATGGCACGAACAATGCGTAGTATATTAAGAAATTTAAGTACTTCAGAGCGACTTCCCTTCCTCGCTAGAAACCATGTCGAATTTTCTCCAACGATATTCAACTCTAACGCTAAGTATTCAAATGGAAGATTTTTCATAGAAAAAATTGCTACACAGAAAGCTCGCACGTTTAAGATGAGGACATTAATAACGTTTTATAAAAGTTTTTTTTTGGTGTTTTTATTTTACATTGTTCAAATATGAATAGGGGCGTGTAAATCAAGAATTTGAGATCAATGGATTTCAATTT